CTAACTAATTTTACCATATATTTGTATTGAGGTATTCTGTTAATTTGTCTCATTACACAAATTGACGGAAATTGGAGATTTTATTAAGATTAGTAATAATGTACACCACAAAGGTTTTTTTTTATTATTTATTTATTTTTTATACAAGCTATAGTCTAAACTATAAAGGGGATGAGGTTAGTGTCATGAGGATTTGAACCTGAGACCACTGGTTTCAAGTCAATGCCTTTTTTCCACTGAGCTATACCCCATTAGCCACAAGGCATTCTTAACAAAATAAAAACAAGACGACTTAAGTCAACCAAATAAATCATTTGTGATTTTAAGCCTTTTTTATCTTTCATTTTTTCCTACGTTTATATGGGGGCAAAAACCCAAAACGCCACAAACAAGTATTGGTAGCAAAGAGTCATTCTATAGTGAGGGCCTAAGGCCCTTATATGAGGTCCTATTTCATAACCGTTGGATCAAACTAACTAATTTGATCCAACTACTAACCAGTTTAATCCAACGATTAAGAGATAGGGCCTTAGATATAAGGACCTCATTATAGAATTCTTATGGAAAAGGGCCCAATCATCTTGAACTAAGTTGACCACTTGGAGGGGATACTCTTTTAGATTATATATCCAAGCCCAAATCCATACTTGGCTCAATTTAGGTAATAAGCTAGCTTACCTGTCATGCCCCAATCCACGGATTTACATAATCTTAGATTAAGACGTGATTCACACCTTAATTATAGAATTTAATAAAAACTATAACTAAAATGTGAAGAACATTGAAATAAATAAATAAATATTTCACATACAATTTTCAGTGGAAACAACATCTAAAATCTTACATTTTTACATTATTTTACAAGTTAAAACTACTTAAAAGTTCACTAAAAGAGTAGCTCATTATTTAACCACAAGCTATGTACACAATACACTCTATAGACATGCCAAAATCATCACAAGTCTTAGAATTCAGGTTCATAGTAAATTGATATAACTAAATTAAGTGACATACAATCACACAGCCAAATATCACATTATAAATAATGATGCATGAATATGCTCTTCATCTACTCCCGTTAATTCAAATAACTAGACAAGCAGACCTGCACGTCCCATACCATGCTTTTACCACTTGGTCCCGAATGCACATTTATATGAACTAACGCTCATTTCAATCATCCCATAATTTCCCCTTTTATTATCTTGTCTAACTCCCTGTCGCCAGTCCCGCATCACCAATATAAACCAGGTGCATTGTAGGATCCCTAAGATATGGTACTTACCAAGTTAGACTCAACTACACAAAAGATTATCCATTACCCTCTTTTCCATCATTATTTTCTCAATCCAACAATTCCAGCCAATTTTCATGATATGATATAATTATGCATTTCACATATCCTGTATATCACACAACAATGTAATCATTTAAAACATCACCAATGTATATATAATAATGTCAACATTGTTCAAATAGTCACGTAAACACCCAACATGAAGAACATTCATCAAATTACAATATCACACATAATATAGTGCTCACAAAATTTAATTAAATCAATCCCCGTAAAGGCCTCCCAAGAAACCACCTACCTTGACACCAAAGCTTTAGTTAGAAATGTAAGGTGTTTCCCAATTTTCCACCACCTCCACAAACTCAATCTCCCACTCTTTTTCTTAACAATTCTACTTCTCTCTACCTCTCTTTCTCTCTGGCTTTTTTTGTTCCGTTGCTGTGCAACTAATGACTTATATATATACAAAGAATAGGTCGGCTATAACTCATTTCCTATTAGATGGTGTACTGGCGGTTTATGCACTTACTATCCAAGTAATGGTCTTACATATATATTAATATGGTCTTGCAAATAAGAAAGAATTTCTTATAAGACACGTTGTGACTCCTCCAATTCCTCCAATCCTAATTTAACGTTCTTCATGGTGAGTTGACAAGGCTAATAATTATAGTCTTGCTACTAGCATGCTTTATTGACACCTAACCACATTACCAAGAACCATTTTACTAATGTATATACACATATATATAATAAAATAAGATATATATGTAATACACATATATATAATAGAATAATATATATGTAATAAAATAATATATAAATACTTACTAGAACAGTACGTAAAACAATATGTATGTATATATATATATATATTTTTTTTTAATCAAGATAATTACTTATAAATAAATATATATATATATATATATATGTAGTAATTATCTTTCTTTAATCATCATTTAAGAAAAAAGACTCTCACATTACCCAACCACCATATTTCGTGCGTTTGTTACACAGATGAGGTTAGACTAATACAGTTTAACCCAATAAGACTTCTACATTCAGCCAACAAATTGACTCAATGATGGGTGGTTGATGATGATATCATGAGCAAAAAAGAAGTGTGGAGTCAGGGTTTAGTAAGGGTCAGGCTAGCCAATCCGATCTTGAAGTTTTTGGTTTAAATCAGGTCTAGACCGGAGTCTTACATTATTTTGAGTCGGTCTGTTCAACTATATTGCATATTGTAGAGTTAATATAATAAATTGTAGGTTAAATATAATGCATAATATAAACTAAACAGAACCAAGATGTAGCCTTTTATCTGTTGGTAAATTGGTTGACTCATTGATTGTTCTGCTTCCTTCTACTCTTCCAACTGTGGTTTCTACGATCTCAAGACTTACAGGGCATGGTAAACAAAGGGAGACTGTACTACATGAGTTCTCCTACAACTTGTGTACAAGATCGAGCTAATTATCAAGTTCAAAGTGATAACCATGAGAAATGTTTTTGGTTATGACATCGCCACTCAAGACACCTCTCTTTTGGATATCTAAAACATTGTTTCCTTCATTATTTTACAAGCTTGAAATGTTTAAAATACCCAAACGAATCCAATTGGTTTGGTTCAGTTTTATAATAAAAAAAGTTTGATTTTAGACCAAACCAAACCACAATTAGTTTGGTCTCAATCCGATTGCAGTCCCAAAGTTCTTCTTGAGCGATGGCCCCCATTAGCACTTGTAAACCGCGTATCCTTCTCGTATAATGTATAGCTTGGACTTGGATTAAGGTTAGGGCCTATACCAGATCTTCTGGGTTGAGATGCTCTCCGTAAAAGACCTGCACACTTTGAACAATTATTAGAATAGGAACGAACTGGGGCTGGTCCCAGTTGAACTCCCTCCGATGGTTAAGTCAGAAGTGGTTGCAAGGTGGAGAGAATGGATGTAGGGTTTGCAAGATGAGAATATTTATTACCTTTGTCTAGAGATAGGTGAGGGGTATTTATAGGGGGAGAAGGAAAGATAGAGATACTTAAGGAGGGGATATTTATCTTCCTTCCCCTTGGTAGGACTAGACTACATTAAATGACCTGTTTTTCTGATCTCCATACTATTTGGCAAGGATTGTGTGACGACGTGACATGTGGCTTTGGATGGGAGGTATATTAAATGATCCCTCTCCATCACCAGTCTGTTCACTTAGGTATCAAAGGGTAAGGCGACACCTGGTCTTGGATGGGATATACATTAATTGATCTATCTTACTTGCCAGGTTGTCTTACCACAAGGGTGGAGTATTTGACTCGATAAGGGTCTGATCATGCATGTGGATCATTAATGCGCCTTTGGTTGAACATAGCACCAGAGTGATCGAGTCAATGTTCAAATGCTCAAGTGCTTATTCGACCTTTATCCCATCAGATCTTGGCTAGGAAGCCTTTTATCGACCCTCGGGGCCACCAAGTATGATAGGGGCGATATTAAAGGTAACCCAGCCCAACTACAGCCACATGGCGTTCTCCAATAGGCTCGGCTTACAGTGATGGTATGAGCCATTAATAGCACTAGTGCCAATTAGTAGCCATTTGACCTATTTGGAAACTGTCTAAACTGAACTAAAGCGTCTATATTATTTAACACTTGATACTTTCTTATTGGTTATCAACATTGACTATCCTACACTTTGGTATCGGACATTTAGAGTTTTTCTATTTAAACCCCGCACTTCTCTTTGTTCACTCTTCTAATTCAAATTTTCACAATTTCTAATAAAACCCCACTATCTTCCCAAATTACCCCTAAATACACACCTAGCAGAAAAAATAAATAATAAAAAAAAGTTTTTAATTTAAACCCCACACTTTTCTTTGTCACTTCAATACTCAAATCATTAAGTTGTTAAGTTTTATTATTGTGTAAAAAGACAAAATAATCATATATTGTCATCAATGGCGGACCCACAAAGGCACAGGAGGTGCAGTTGCACCTCCCCTCACCGGAACTGTGTAAAGTTCTCATGGCGCTGCTCATTTAGCAAATGACAAGTTGCAAAGGCATTCTTAATGGAGGTTGAGGCGCTGCCTCACAAGGAAGAAGAAGACATAATACCCTAATTTTTCTTTTTCTGAAACGACGTCGTTAAAAATCTAGTTTCTATGTTTAATGAAACGCAATGTTTCACTGAAGTTGGTTTCTCAAAGCAGTTGGGAATACAAAATTGCCCCAGTGAGCCCACTGCCCAAGCCATATAAAACCGAAATGTCACCTACACTAAACCCAAAAAGAAAGCACGATAAACTATTGCTCAGCCCAGTTAAAACCAAAATGTTGCCTATTAAAAACTTAGAAACCTCAATATAAAATCCTAAAACCAAAACTCAAACTTTAATATAAGCCAACAAAAATGACGTAAAGACTTGATGAAGCGGCATACAAGCCGCTATTGTACTGTAACGGCAGCATCTTTAAAAGTTCGAGAAAACAGTATCTCATTTATGTTATCTCATCCTCTCTGTCTCGTGGAGTCTCAGAGTTCCACAACAAAACGTTAAACGTGGTAGTGGCATTACCAACAAAACCTCCAATCGAAAAAAGACAAGAAGAGATAAACCACTTTATACATTTTCCACCACACACACTGCCAGGCACCACCAGCAGTTTGGTCTTGACTCATTTGCTTCTGAAACCCGACAACAATGGCGGAGGTTGAAGATGAGAAGAAGCAGCAGATCAAGAGCAGTGGCGTAGTGGTGCCCAACCCAAAACCAAACAAGGGATTTGCTTCAAAAGTCGTGGACTTGATAGAGAATCTGATTGTGAAGTTGATGTATGATCCTTCTCAGCCTCACCACTATCTTGCTGGCAACTTCGCTCCTGTTCTTGATGAAACTCCTCCCACCAACAACCTCCCTGTCATAGGCTCTCTTCCTGTAAGTCTCTCTCTCTCTCTCTTAGCCCCGCCCCGCCCCACCCCACCTTCCTCATATGATCAAACTCTCTGATGCCTAATTTTGCCATGTGCTCTCAATTGCCAATGCCATGCCATGTATGAATACAGGAGTGCTTGAATGGAGAGTTTGTCAGGGTGGGCCCCAACCCAAAGTTTGCCCCAGTTGCTGGATATCACTGGTATGTCTTTTTTCCTTCTCTCTTTTCTGGGTCTCTTTTAATTTATGGAAATAAATTTCAGTGATTCTTAGCCATGTGAGTTTTGTGCTGATGCCCCTTGTTGCTCCCTTTGCAGGTTTGATGGAGATGGGTGAGTCCCCTGCTTCTTTATTCACAGCCTTATTTGAATTCGAATCTTTTGAACAATTATATGTAGGCTGATTATCTTATCGAATTCAGTTTTCATGTTAACAAGTGGGATAGAAACATAAGTAAATAGTTTCTGTTCATTAGCCATGTCTCTGGCGAATTAGTAAAGTGATAGATGTGATCCAGCATTGCTTTATATATTTAACATTTTGCAGTATGGTTCATGGTATGCGCATCAAAGATGGAAAAGCAATGTATGTCTCCCGCTATGTTAGGACATCCCGTCTTAAGCAAGAAGAATATTTTGGAGGGGCTAAATTTATGAAGGTATGTCAATAACACCACTTCAGCTGTTGCAGTTGCAATTTTAGATTAAGTGTGTGCCATAGATGTTTAGTTCGGAGATTCCATTCTTATGTTCCTGAATATGTCATTCCAGATTGGAGACCTTAAGGGGCTTTTTGGCTTACTCATGGTTAACATGCAAATCCTGAGAGCAAAACTGAAAGTATTAGATATGTCTTATGGGAATGGGACAGGTAGGGTGTTCTTGCGCGCAAGGTTTTTGAAATGCAATAACAACTTCTTTTCGGTACAATTCTGAACTGTCACAACTCATTGACTGTAATGCCTTTGATGCACTGGTATTTTAATAGGAATTTAATCCTTGTGATCCATACACCATACTTTAGCATGCATGGACATCAAATTTTTGACTCCTTAATATTTTTTTATAAATAAACCCAATTCTAGACATGTATTTATAAAAAAACCCAAGCACTATTTAAACATAGAAACACACCCAAAATCAAGCCCAAAGTCAATTTTTTGGGTGTGTTTATAAATGGGTTTTGAGTGTGTGTAATGATAGGTTTTGGGTGTGTTTATATGTTTAAATAGTGCTTGGGTTTTTTTATAATTTCAACTCCCATTTTGGGTGTTTTAGTGAAACTCCCATATTTTTATCCCCTACACCTTGGTTGAAAACTTAATGACACAGTTGAAACTGTGTGCATAGTTTTCTGTTCAATTTGAAACATTTATGAATTTTGTATGCCCCTGCAAATGTATCCTTGAAATCCTGGCGAAGTAGGAAAGTATCTCCTGTTACTTGCCTAAGAAGCAGTATCTTTAACTAACTATTTCCTACCCTTTTCCAGGTAATACAGCTCTCATATATCACCATGGGAAGCTTCTAGCTCTTTCAGAGGCAGATAAGCCTTGTAAGAACTCATCCATGTTCTTGCATCTACTTTTCAATTTCAATCAATTCGATAATCTAATGGGATGAAAAGATTAGGGGAATAATTTTTGTTCATTTTTTTGGATTTCACCACTGCTTTTGATGCCATAAAGATGTAACTGATGTTTTTCATGGTTCAGAAAAAGAAAAGAACATAAAAATGACAGCCTTTGTATTGCCTCCTATATCTTTGTGGGCGCTCAAATAATAATTTTACTTTTGTTTATTTCTAGTGTGGAAATGAAATTGTTTATGTTGCATTATGTAGATGTCCTCAAAGTTCTGGAAGATGGAGATCTGCAAACAGTTGGCTTACTGGATTATGACAAGAGACTGACACATTCCTTCACTGCTCATCCAAAGGTTGACCCATTCACTGGTAAGCACATTCTTATAGAAAGAAATTTATTCTGCCTTTATAAGGAAATTTTCCTCTGAACTTATGATGTACCTAATGCAGGCGAGATGTTTACATTTGGCTATTCACATACTCCGCCATATATCACTTATAGAGTTATTTCCAAGGATGGTTTCATGCATGATCCTATACCCATAACAGTAGCAGACCCCATCATGATGCATGATTTTGCAATTACTGAGAACTATGCAATTTTCATGGATCTCCCCTTGTACTTCAGACCAAAGGTATGGAAGTTTCAAAATTAATGTTTTTTATTAATTTCAACTAGTTATAGAGCATCCATTATGTAAAGATTAATCACCAATAAATTTGAGCATGCATACCAACCAAATAATCTTCAAACTGATAGGCAAAGGGTGAGAGGTTGGAGTTGGAAATGAGGGGGACCAAATCTTGGTTTTTTGTGCATTGTGGGGCTTGTCAAATTAGAGTTAAAGATTTTAGGATCAACATTACTTAACATATTAATGGTATTTGTTCAAAAAATATACCCTTTTTTGGAATTTCTTCGGTTTTATACATGTAAACCAGCAGTGGCTCATGGAGATTGGGCGTGTTGTTTTAGCGTGTTGTACATTGTTAGGACTATTTCCTATCGACTTAAGTTCCTGGAACAATGGATAACTTAACAATAATTATTGAGCATCAAACAATCACATAAAATGAATCTTAACATGTTATTATAAAAAATTTCATGTTTCCAGGAAATGGTGAAGGAAAAGAAGCTGATATTCACATTTGATCCAACAAAAAAGCTCGCTTTGGTGTACTTCCACGGTATGCAAAGGATGATTTGCTAATCAGATGGTTCGAGCTTCCAAATTGCTTCATTTTCCATAATGGTGCGCATATTTTCTTCCTATCTTAATGCAAAGACCAATGCCTTTGAAACAACTATTGTTTTTTCGATTAAGTTTTCCAATAACTCTGCATTCTATTAACTAAAAATTGGTGAAGCTGGTACGCAGCCGAAACTTTTAAATAAGTGCTGCAACTCCTATGGTCTATCCTGCTTTGAAGCATTACTAAGATTCATCTGAGGAACATGCTCACTTCTGCTAAAAATGTTGTAAACATTCAATCCTGGCTATTTGGAGTTGGCTAGGTGGACCTGTTCGTACCAATATGCTCTACGTAGGGTTATGCCTACTCTCTTTTGCTTCTTGAGGCCTTAACCTGCTCTCTTTCTATTAGTTCTAACTGTCTGCCTCAGGCTGCAGCATTGCTAGAAGCTTGAAAGGAGTATTTTGGTCTTTTTTATTGTGCTGGAATTTCTTTAGCAATCAAGAGTTTTAGTATTCTTCTTTAGTTTCATTCATATTTTCTTATTTCAGTTTTCTTCTTGGGCTCCTTAGAGTAGTACTGCTCTAGTTTCCGGATTATCCTTCAATTCCTCTAGCTGGAATTTCAGACCTTCCAAACTTCTCAAGGCTTACTGAAGTTATTTTAGTCCCCCTGCTCTAGTTATTATACTGAAGTTATCAATTCCTCTAGCTGTTCTAGTCCCGTAGAACTAAACCAACTAACCATTATGGATTTTTGTTCAAATGTGTAACTTGGTATGGTATAGTTAATGTCGTTTAGCAATAAATAAATGTATGTGATCTTTCATGGTTGGTGATTAAGCCATGCCTAAAGCTTTTTACCGTCTACATTCAAACTGTTTTTGTGACTTCATTTTTTTATAGCTAATGCTTGGGAGGAGGAGGATGAAATTGTTTTAATCACATGCCGCCTTGAGAATCCAGATTTAGACATGGTCAATGGGCCTGTCAAAGAAAAGCTTGAAAACTTCAAAAATGAGCTGTAAGAGATTTTGACTCGTGTTACTAATGTAAATTGCTAATAGACATGATGGTGCTTCTGACTGTTCTAACTATTTTCAGGTACGAGATGAGATTCAATTTAAAAACTGGTCTAGCATCCCAGAAGAAACTATCAGAATCAGCTGTGGATTTTCCCAGGGTGAATGAGAGCTACACTGGCAGGTATGCATCTCCTGTCCTCGCAGGGAGATTTCTGGATTGAAAAGTAAAAATATATACATATATGTGTGTGTGCGCGCGCGCGCGTGTTTGTATGTGGTACTATTGCCATCATACTAGCTTGTTTTCACTAATTAATTTGTGTGAAAGCAGGAAGCAGCGTTATGTGTATGGAACCTTACTGGACAGCATTGCAAAGGTGACAGGGGTAGTGAAGTTGATCTGCATGCTGCACCAGAGCTTGGAAAAACAAAATTGAGGTTGGAGGAAACGTCCAAGGCCTCTATGACCTGGGACCTGGCAGATTTGGTTCTGAGGCTATTTTTGTCCCTCGTGTTCCCGGAGTTACCTCTGAAGAAGATGATGGCTACTTAATATTCTTTGTACATGACGAGAAAACTGGGTAATATTTTCATCCCTCACATTAAAGGGACTGTTTAGTAACACAGTGCTTTCTCTTAAAAATTGAATCTTAAATTCCATACTCTAAACAAGCATGAGTCTCAGTTTAACTCCGGCTTATAAATATTGTCGATCGCAATGTCATCACTTTTATTATAGCTATGGTGTTCATGCTTTACAAGTAGAGTGAACTGGGTTTGCCAGTGGTTATGCAGCTTGCATTTGGAGTTGAATTTTCTTGAGGACAGACTGCAATCTAATCTTGAATTTTCACCATGCAGAAAATCATCAATCCATGTAATTGATGCAAAGACAATGTCATCTGACCCGGTCGCAGTTGTTGAATTGCCACATAGAGTTCCATATGGTTTCCATGCCTTCTTCGTCACAGAGGTCAGTGCCACTTCAATTGTTCCTAAGATGCATTTTAATTTTTAATTTGATGTGCATCATGCAATGCACAGATTGACACAACTTTGGGATGCAGTGTAATTTTCATTTTAAATTTAATCGAACTTAAATCTGCCTTCTAACCTGGTGTTCTTGCGTTTATATTTCTCCTGTCGCCTACTTTATAATTCCTTTTTTTGGGTAGTATTTCTGATCCAAATTACGGTTCCTTGAACAGGAGCAATTGCAAGAACAAGCAAAGCTCTAATTGCTCGATCATTGAAAGAACCTGTGCAAGAGAAAGGCAGAGCTGTGTAAATTGAACCTGTTGTGTAGATGGTGTGCTTCACATCTCCACCAATAATACATGTATGCATTCCACTGTGTTTAATTACTTGGAGACAAAAAATAACGCACATCAATGGGGTTATATAGTGCCCCTACTGTTTTCCCTTACATGACTTGAAGGCATTTTTATTGAGCAAACCTTTCTTAATAGCAAGGGGTTTGTTTTGTTGCTTTCAATGTCGATAACAGCAGCAGAATTTGTTGTCACTGCTAAATCTCACAAATGAGATAAGAGAAGTTTGCAAAAGCTGGTTGTGTAAAAGAAGAAAAACTTGACATAAAACCGTTCGATTTCCTGTGGAAGCTGTCCATGACAGAATTGCACAAATGTGGCAGATATATAAGGCTCCAAATCTGAAGGAAAAATGTAGCCATGACTGAAAATAGTTAATAGTCACAGTTTTTGTGATTTGAGGAAGGAATGTTTGCCCTTTGATTCAATACAACCCAGAAAGAATTCGTTATTCATGCTTGCCCTTTGTTCTTTTTTGTCGAAAAATAAGGTTCTCCACCGTGACAAATCATCCGGTAATATCAATATGATGACTATATGTTGTCAATATTGAAGGAAGTTGAAGTTCCATCTCAAAATCAATTGGTGATAGGGAATAACCTAACTCCTTATAAATACGAACTCTCAACACGCCCCTACACGTGTGACGAACTTTCAAATCTAACACGTGAACAACACATATTGAGTGACGTAGAAGAATGCGTGGCCGTTGGACCCAACACGTAAAGCTTTATTAAGGTTCTAACTCAAAACAAATTGGCGATGAGGAGTAACCCAACTCCTCGTAAACACAAACTCTCAACAATTGTCTCATTATTTCGACTGCAAACTGTAATAATTTCCATTTAAAAAGTATGCTACAATAATACTGGTATTCGAGAGCATTTCGAGGTGGAAATAAAAGTTATAAAACCCACACGAAGCTAAAGCTGCTTGTTAATAAAATTCAACGACGAATTCACACATGCAACAGGCAAAGGCAAATAGTTCAACAACCATTACATACCGAATCACCTTTATAATAATTTATTTTTCATTAAAGCAAAATGTCTAAAATTTAAGTATAACCTTTTTAAAGTTAAAAATGGAGAAAATGGTGAGAGAGAGAGAGAGAGAGAGAGGATAAAGAAGAAAATCCCTCAGAAAAGCCTGATTTCAACCTGGAGAGCATGAAAGCAAAGCAATTAAGAATGGCTCCTCAACCTCTGCAAATTACTAAAAATGAGCTTTGCACAAGGGAGCACCAATCTTTTAACTGCAATTTCATGCAAATTTCTCAGATTACTAAATTTATCATCATTGGGACATTTTTGTATAGTATAATGCCGAACACAGAGAGAAAGAGAGACAGAACGCCGAACAGAGAGAGAGAGAGAGAGAGCAGCGCTGTTGATGATGGATGATGGAGGCGAATGGTGGGTGTTTTAGGGTTTTGCTTTGTCGGGACTTGCGGTAGTATATAGCCCGTGGCCCAGTAGTGATTTAGAGATCTTCCGATTTGGGTTGGGCCTTTGTTGAGAGCTTTGAAACTTTTCTTGGAACCCAACTCACAAAAAATTTATTTTTATTTTTGTAAACGAGCGATATTTGTAGAGGGAGAAATCGAACATAGAACCTCAAGTGCAGAGTAAATACCCTTAATACAAATTTATAAATAAACCCAATCCTAGACATGTATTTATAAAAAAACCCAAGCACTATTTAAATATAGAAACACACCCAAAATTAACCCCAAAATCAATAATTGTATATTTTTTGGGTGTGTTTATAAATGGGTTTTGAGTGTGTGTAATGATGGGTTTTGGGTGTGTTTATAAAGTGTTTTGGGTGTTGGGTTTTTTTATAATTTCAGCCCCCATTTTGGGTGTTTTAGTGAAACTCCCTACTCTTAACCACTTGAACTACTTTCATTGCAACTTTCTATTTATTTTTGTTCAATGAAAATTTTAACATGTTTTTTCTTTTGAAGAGAAACGATACATTAAAAAGGTGGATACATTATGTGAGAAAAAAATTAGTTGCTCGCGTACGTGTGCAAGACCTTGTTTGGAACACAATTGGACCAAACAATCAAACCATCATTAGTGCTTGTAAAATGAATGGACCGATACCAGAAAATAAATAGAGTAATCAAAATATAAAATAGATATAGAAATCTAGATCATACAGTTTCTTCTCAAAAAAGCTGAAGAAATATAGGTCAAAATACCCCTCCACGATGGATGAAGTAGCCTTTGCAAAGTCACCACAACCACTACATTGGATGCAATAAACAAGAGAAGGAAATTCTCGTCTCACACGGAAGTCACAACACACATTTCAAACAGAACTGCAGTGTTTAAAATCTACACATTCACATCTAATTTCTACTTGAGTTTCCAACTGATACTTTCTTAACTGTTTCTACAACACAAGTGAGTGCAAGTGATGGCTGACTGAAGACAACATGGACTTCACACCTATCTCCTTCCACAACACCCCAATAATTACAAAAGTAACCAAAGCCAAGAATGATTTGCCTGATATAGACATTGCACAGCAGGGTTTCACCCCAAGAGACTGCGCACGCCTTCAGCTTCACCTGCAGTATATAAGCAAGCCTCTATTAATACAAGACAATAAACAAACAATTTACCGGATTGAATATCATGGTTTGTCATATAAACTGAAACCACTGCCAGAGGGGTAACCCAACCTCATAGAGGAATCTCATTTACTGGGGATGGCCCCACGAGAGGACCCATTCAACTGCATGTTTTCCCTCTGCTGACCCAGGAAAACACTTTCCTTGCTGTCACCAAACGTGGAAGGGTATGCTGATGATGGGCCATGGCCATTGCCATTATCACTAGAGAGTGTGTGGTTCTTGTGTGCCCTGAACCATGGATCTGATCCTTCTTGCTGGACATTTGAGGAATCAAAAGTCCCATTGCTGGTATTGGGAAAGCACTCAAAACTAGATTTGGCAGATTGGGCTGAATCATTTGCATCCAAATTCATGCCTTTTTCAAGTGAGGAATTTTCGTCATTATCATCTTGTTTCTTTGTATTAAGGAAACGACCTCCACAACCCCTTGCCCTCCTCAATGCATGTAGGTGCCGAGACTCGTGAAGATATGGCTGTAGAATGAATACAAAATCATATATCAAACAAACCCTTACGCTGTTTACAGACAATCATTCAGTTAGCTGAATACGGCTTAACACCTCTTGGAAAGTTACATGGTCATTCATATACGTAAAGTGTATGTATTTGTGTGTGTTTAACACCCCTTGAATGTGAATGTTTCTTAAAACCCCTCAAAAAGTTAAAGCGCCATACATACATGTGTGTTCGTATGTGTGTGTTAACACTCCTTGAAAAGTTATGTGTGTGTGTGTGTGTGTGTGTGTGTGTGTGTGTTAACACCCCTAGAATGTGAGTGTTCTTAAAACACCTCCAAAAGTTAAATGGCTATACATACGCGTGTGTTGTGTGTGTTAGCACTCCTTGAAAAGTTATATGGTCATTTAATCATTCATATACACAATATAGTGTGTGTGTGTGGTGTGCGCGCGCGCACGCATGCGCATGCGCATGCGCATGTGTGTACTATCATTCACTCAGCTGAATACAAAAGGCTTAACACCCCTTGAAAAGGTACATAGTCATGTCCATATGCATAAAGTATGTGTCTGCTTGCATGCATGGGTCATTCCTCAAGGGTATATTTCTCATCAACATCCCCGTCCAGAACTTAGCAAGTCTGTTTTATTTTCCCCACCATTCAAGCATATTCCCTAGCTATGTTTAGTTCATCTCTTTTTCTGGATATGAACGAAAGACATTTTCTTCCAGGATATAGCCGATATTTCTCTGATATTACCCATATACATGGATAAATCTGCATTGGTGAAGAGTCTTAAAAGACTGCTACTTACCAACATTTACCAACATTAGTGTTTCCATAGATATTTCCATATTTCTAACTTCTAAGATAGTAAAACTTTGTCAAACAAATGATACATGTCATATATTTGGCAAGAATACCTTATTTTGCGAAATTGTGAAGCATTTTAAATTGGTTACATTCAGAAATTCTATATTTTGGAATGTTTTGAGGTGAATTACCTACATTTCGATCAATTTTTACCTATAAACATAGTGAACAAAAATTCCCATAAGTCTAGACCACCAACATATGCATTGATATCAATAATTCATCCTTGCTAGTTGCTTGTACCTAACTCAACATGACCATCATAATGTCTCAAACATATGTTAGATTCACTTTCAACTAGAGAAAATAAAATAGCATTAAGTTTTAAGATTGTCTTGTGTCTTGTGTATATGTACATGTGCGCACAAATGTGTTCATGTCTAATTCTAGGAAATGCTACTAGAGTCCACAGAACGAACAAATTTAAAATTAGTTTACCTTTCGAGCTTTTATAAGTTTCTTTTCAAGCTCAGTTTTAGCACGTGACTGTCTTCGTCTCAAAATGCCATGGTACTGCTTGGCATTTACATAAACAGGCTCCTCTTCCATTTCAAGGGGCAAAGGCATTCTACCATGATGAATGCCATAGAAGTGGGGAGGCAGCTGGCATCACACTAAGAACCATCAGATAATAAACGACAATTTTTCTCATATTCAAAGTGCAGTATAAAATAAGTTCATGCTATTGCTTATACAAGAAACTACAAAGCACAAAATTTGCTTATATTGTTTGACTGGAACATTGATCACCAAACATATAGACATACTAGTTCATTACATTTGTAATCTGTCCTGAGAAACATATTATGATGTATGCATGTGTATACTGTGTATGCATGTGCACAAAGGCAATCTTTGGAGAATAAAAAGTATTTTGTTCAGTCTAAGTATTCGGTTTCCCAATTTGTCTACATTCGTGAACTACTTCCTAAATTAATTGATTCGGTTATAATTTAGTTTTTGATTTTGGTTAGAGGTATACACTATCTAACTGTTTCAGGTTATGATTAATTCATCTCAAAATGGTTACGAAAATTATTGATTACTCATTGATAATTGAATGTTGGTTACTCAATGAATTTATCAAATTCAGCCTAGTGTTTTAGTTGGATTTGGTATTGAAGTTTGGTTACTTATATATTTACCCACAATATTAATATACGATCAGTTTTGCAGCCCAAAAGTGTCAAGGCCCATTGTAGTGAGGCACATGAAACGTACACCAATGACACATGATACCAAGTTGTTGAAGTGGAAACTAATATTTCTTAAGCAGAATCAAAAAATTTTGAAGGTTTGGTTTAAACTTCATGACAAATCTATTCCCTATGAGTCTGAAGAGGAGTGCTGAGTAGAGCACATTCAAAGAAAGTTGAGGCTTAATGTATTTTAATTTGTTTTATGTTTCTCTTTTTATATAAGAAACAGAATTCTTCATTAATAAAAGGAAGAGTTATGTTTTTTAGTTCTTAATTTAACAAGCTGAGAATAATAATCCTCTATCCTCTAACTTCGGGGGAAGTTTTGGATACAACATATACTACTGCAACAATATATATTACTGCAGATTGCATACCATAGCTTGTGCCCCATAAGTAGTCAACATCCCGCCATATTGTGGATCCGAATAAGGATATGATGTCAAAACCTGCAAAATTTAATGAGACTTGTAAACCTTCTATACATAACCCCATACAGCGAAGAAATTTGCATGTCTTAATGGTAATGGATACAAATTCCTGCTGTTCAAATTTCTGTGATTGTTTCCATGTATTGAAGGTTTATATATGTAGAATGCGAGAGGGAAAGAGAAAGTACTTACGATTGAGTGACCAACAAGTTCCATTTGTGAATTTGGATCGTGGTGTTCACCCATTGTAGGAACCACCGAGGAAGAAACGCTTTTGATTTGCTGGTTTTTGCATCTATTTTTCGTGTCTGAATAAAAGGAAACTTGCATTAATAAGTATATGAGCAGTTGAGTTAATATATGAAAGAAGATACAACACTGGAAATCTTACAGGGAAGACTTGGAGCAGACGTATTCCATAGTGCTAACAAGTATTATCAACCAGATATAATAACCTAGAAATATTCACTTAAAAGAATTGAAGCATTCCATGTACAATAGCAGCATATGTCAAGATTTATTTTGAAGCTCACATATCTTAGGCTGCAGGCATTTATACATTTAATACTAAAAAATTATATTTTCTTCTGCATGCTGCCCCCAGACACCAAGGTCGCCAGCTTAGATGCTCATGGCAGAAAACAAGCAGAGTGGCAGCATTGTCAAGAAGAAGAAAAACAATAAGTCCATTGGAGTGAGTGTCGATTTTAGGAGACCTTTTGACATAAAGTAGATTGCTCTGGGAAAATCTGATACAGGTGCTTCAGATTCAGCACTGTCTATCAGGGAAGAATTAATTTGGGTTTGCTGAGCAAGGTGTCAAGGATGGTTCAGGGAATTTTACAAGTGACTTTGCTTGGTTTCAGGTCTCGTTTTCTGGAAATCAAATCCATACTACAGAATTGAAATAAGACCAAGATAAAATCCATAGCAATTGCACATCTTCTAGTTCCCCACCCTACCCCGCCCAAAACACACACAGGGAGAGTAACAAGGATTCTCACCTTCTTAATGCAGTTCCTTTTTTCTCAACTAGATTTAGTTTTCCATATACAAAATAGCCCACCACACAAGAAGCTAGTAAGAGAAAGATTGTAATAACTAACCACAGGTGTCTAAGGCCTATTTTAATTCTTTTTTCTCCAACAAATGCTAGTCTTAGTTGTATCAAGTTCTATTCAGTTTAGATCATAAGCACTATCACAATTATAAAAACCTTCAAATTTCCTTTATTTCACAGATTGAAAGGTCTTGGTCAGGATGTCAAATTGATGATGCATTCGGTCCTTCAATCTCACAAAGAAGACAAAGGCTTAGTATATAATTATAAATAAAATAAAATAAAATTTTAAAAGGGTTTCTCAGAATGATTACTTTATAGGTAATTTGATGTAGTAGCAAGTGTGAAAATTTCCAATTCAGAAAAAGAAGTTCACATCAAATTTTAATGATAATGCAAAAGTAAATACCCGACTGTGATCCTACTGTAGTCCGCAATTCTTTGTTGAAGTTGGCCCCACCATCCAGCCTACCATTAGCTTGTGACTGCATAGCTCCATTCATGACCATACTATCACGATGATCCACCAAAGATGATGCTGGAGCACTTTCACCTGATGATGAATTGTTCCCCACTCCACGCCACCAAGGTTGGGCATAGATAGCTGATTCCAGCACAGTCTGGGCACCGTGTTCTATATGTGGATCTTCATCTTTAGATTTAGCTGGCATCATTCACCACTTTCTCCTGGAAAAATATAACCATGAGTTTTAACATAAAACAAAAGGAAGATGAGGAAAGAAACCAAAACCAACTACTGATCAACAGTCATTGCATAGAAGCAAATGACAGAGAAACACTACGATAAGTAAATCTGCTTAGGCGCATCCAAAAAATATTATTTGAATCAAAGAATCAACCAGTAGTTTACTAATAGAAATATTGTATGGAGATAAGAACTCAAAATAAATACAAAAAGCAAAAAAAAAATTAAATATGCAGGTGAATCACAAATTAATCCAGCAAAACAAATGGAACAAAATAGTAAGATGGATGTTCCACACTTAATCATATTATTCCTATTCCTTCTACAGTATAAAAAGGATGACAAGCTTGTTACCAAATTGTTTGAGAACAAAGCTAGGCATAAATACATCAATCAAATGTTGTAATGACCAATGCTCCTCCCAGAAATGTTAACTCCAAATTCACGTATGGATTCCTAAGCGTTACTTGAGTACTCTAGATCTCCCTCCTTCACAAATATCATAATTCTCCCTTCTTTCGGTATCCCAACCTCCCTTACTTTAGGTGTTAGCAACAGAATCAGGAATAAAATCACACACATAGCAACAGACGGGCCTTTGTAATATGATACGCAACTGTTTACCAACCCACAAGCAACAATTCAGAACAAAGTTAGGTGTTGCCTGCTTTGGCCTTAGCCCAACCCTTGCAGGTTCAAAGGTCCCTAGGCCGTGGAAATGCTAGACCTGCATATAGCACTTCACTTCAACTTAACAAGGCAATGTGGGACACATGAATTTGTGTTCATCTCACCTGTCTTCCAATCACCGCAACTATCTTGGCATGTCCATCTTAGGAAATCATAGCTTATCCAATCAAGGAACCTTGGCTCTCACGTCAAAAATCCATTACCTCATAGCATAGGGGCAACTGACACTTTTTCCCTCATTAGCATGAAGTAGTTGCTGTATCCATGTCCCCAATTGACTAGTAGGAATTGGGTTTGGCCACTTTGATACTATTTATGGTGATCCCATTCAAAAGTGCCAACCCTAGCTGACATTTAATTTCCAGGGTCTTGCTTAACAAAGATTCTCCATACACAACGCCTATCTTTCTTAAAGACAGGATGCGTTGAGAAAACCTCACTTCTATGTAATTTCCTTCAATTTTGATCCCATTTTATTGACATGGTTGATTATTTAGGGTATAGAATGACCCTTTAGATCTTCGGTTTTAGGTTTTAAGTATCAAATTTTGGGAGCAATTAACCAATCCGAGACTAGAACCTAAAGTCTAAGCTCTAAATGATAATTCTAGTCCCTAAAACAATCAACCATGTCAACAAAAGGGATCAAAGTTTAATAAAATTTAGGGGAAGTGAGGTTTTCACAACAAGTCTCATCTTTAAGAAAGATGGAACGCTGTGTACTAGGAATAAATGCTTGCTTAAACACTAAATATTGCTAGCTCATAGTTGATGTGGCATTAAGGGGTACCACAATCTCCCCTCCTTTAGGGATATCATAACTGTCCTATTATGAGCTTGAGAAATAAAGACATTGACGCACAAATTCAACCATGCAAATTGACAGAAGTTGACAAGCATATTAACGCAAAAACTAGGGAGTTGTTAAATCATTTAAGTTATGAAGGACGTCTTTTCTGTTTAGTATTTTCTAATCATCCGACATTTCTCTTTAACTCATTTCTTGAGTAGCCAGGTTATTACAATGTTAATGACTAGGGAAAATCTTTAACTCATCCTCTTTCACAAAAAATGAGGGCAAATATTATTTGATCCCAATGCCAACAAATCCTAAATCTTTTCCATATCCAAACTTCAGAGACATGTTTTTTCCAAATAAAAAAGCAACCAGGTCCAGAATCAATATAACAAGCGTCTAAATCGATAACGAATCATCTACTCAACAGTATTCTGTAAGTCCCCATGAAAAACCAACAAATTCCACACTTGTTGCCCAATCATCTAAAAAACACAAACAGTTCAATTCGTTGCCACTGTCTCAAAATGCTCCAATACAGAGAATCCAAGAGCAAAACTCAATTAATAAATAAATAAGTAAATACTAAATAACAACCGGCGGATCTCACAAATATAAGTGCAACTCATTTTGGTACCTTTAACATGCAATTACATCTTTAATCAAGTTTTAATGATTCACAACTTCAAATGGATTCTAAGTTCAGCTTCCGTTGGTTGCTGAAAGAAAAGACCAGTATGAACAAAAAATTTCAAATTTATAAATGTCAAAACATGTAAAATTCATTGTCCCACTTCACTAAACCAGACTAAATTTTCAAAACCTTTTTCCATCTGGGTACCCAAATTTTTCTACATGCACACCTGTTTCCAATACATATATTACTGAATAAAAAATTAACCAAAAAATACAAAAAGAAAGTGAAAAGTTTGAGCTCCCTTTCACTTTCCAAAACCAAACTTCGAAATTTGTGTTATTTTCTTTATAATTCCCCTGTTTTCTCACTAACCAAACAGAGATAGAAGGAACTTTCTCTATCAAAAAAAAATCAAACAAGAAACATTGATTTGAACCAAAATGAAAGAAATTAAGAGAATTCGAACAGACAGAAGAGAAAAACTTGAGAGGGAAAATCATACAGTGGTGAGCGAAGTAGCAGACAGGAACCCTAAGAAGTTTTATTTTCAGGGATTCGAAGTCGTCGAGGTAAGTCTCTTTCTCTCTCTCTCTCTCTGTCTTCTCTCTTTTCTCTCTCTGCAACCTTAAGAGAGACAGTGGAAGATGACGCGGACAGAAATTTTTTAAAATATGATATCTTTTCTAAATTTTCAGGAAACATAATTAATATTTCTTTAGTTTAAACTATAAAGATGACAGAAGTTGAGCTGACTTTACCAAACTACCCTTACAATTCTTCTTCTCTTTACAGAAAAATTAATATTTCTTGGTTTTATTTCTCTCATCTCTCTTGTTGTAATATTACTTTAATTCATTATAATCTAATTTCAGAATTGTAATTTAATTTATAAATGTCAAAAGCTTTTATGTTTTTCCTCTTTCCCTATACACTTTTCTTTCTTTCTTTTTTATTATTTTGAATTAGTGAATAACATGTCTATTCTCAAATCTGAGTATCTCATCACCTCTTTTTTGTTAAATCCCCAATTCAATCATTCTATCATAACTCTGTTTCTAAAATTTCTCATTTCATCTAAATCTAGTTCTACCTCACATTTGAAGGAGTTTGTTGCAATCTACCCATATGTTGTTGTCAATCGTTATCAATTTAGGACATTTATTTTCTATTATGCGTAGTTGGCTCATTGCAGACAGAGGTTTTCCCATATATACTTCATGTTCTACGTTTTTTTAAATGCACTAGATGGCCAATAGTAATGGATAATGCTCTAAACTACGTTTATCAATAAAAGAAAATAGGGCCAAAAAAAAAATTAAAGGACCCTTAAAAAAAAATCCAAGTAATGCCGAGCGGCTATACTATTTTTAACATAAAAATTCCCTTGTACACCCTGGCGGCTATACTATTTTTGGAAAAAAAAATACCCGGGTATAGCCGCGCAACTATACATTTTTTTTAAATATTTAAATGACCGAGTGTATATATATATATACACACACACACACACACACATATAAAGAGTATAGCCGCTCGGACATACTATTTATTAAAAATAAATAATAATTAATAAATAATTAAAAAGACCGCCCCAGTGCCTAAGTGCCATAGCGTGAAAATAGGTATAGCCAGCTATACTATTTTGGAAAATATGCTAGAGTATAGACTTGCGGCTATACTATTTATTGGACAAAAAGGGACCCACCTAGCGCTTAGGTGCCCAAGCGTCAAAACAAGTATAGCAGTGTGGGTAAAAATTACCGTAGTAAAGCCGCGTGGCTATATTATTTTTGAAAAAAAATTACCCAGTCCAGCCGAGCGGCTATACCCTTTTTTTTTAAGTATAGCAGCTCAGTTATACAGTTTTTTATATATAAAAAATAACCTAGTATAGCAACGCGGCGATACTATTTATAAGGAAAAATAGGCCCTGCCTTGCAATTAGGTGCTCAAGTGTCAAAACGAGTATAGCCACACGGCTATACTATTTTTTAAATAAAAAATTACCGTAGTAAAGCCACGCGGCTAGATGAGTGTTTTAAAAATAAATATTGTAGTATAGCAGGAGGCCATACTATTTAAATATATTATATTAAAAGGTATAGCCGCTCGGATATACCTTTAAAAAAAAATTTAAAAAGTACCCTCCTAGTTGCATTAGTTTATACTTTATTGATATTAGTTGGCTAGTTTCAACATATCCAAAGCGAATATTGAAGAGAGAGAAATTTCACAGTAAAATCAATCTGAGAGTTCAATTTCTTCTTCTTCTTCTTCTTTTGTGGAAATGTTTGCCTTTGATCTAACTCGTTCTCTCGAAAAACACGCAAAGAGTGAAGCCGCGCGGCTATACTATTTATAGGGAAAAAAAGGACCTGCCTAGCGATTAGGTGTCCACGTGTCAAAACAGGTATAGTTGTGTGTACTCTCTTTTTTTTTTTTTTTTTTTTTTTTTTTTTTTTTTTAAAGCCTAAAGCTGCTTAGGGGGGTCGCATGTGAAAATAAGTATAGACACGCGGGTATACTATTTATAGGAAAAAAAAAAGGGACCCACATAGTGATTAGGTGTCCACATGTCAAAACGAGTATCGCTACTCAGCTATACTATTTTTTTATAAAAGAAATACCATAGTATAGCCGCACGCCTATACTATTTAAATAAATTATATTTAAAGGGTATAGCCGCACGGCTATAATATTTAAATATATTTTATTTAAAGGGTATTGCCGCTCAGCTATACCTTTTATTAAATAAAAAAATTAAAAATACCCTCCTAGTTGCATTAGTTTATACTTTATTGATATTAATTGGCTAGTTTCAACATATCCAAAGAGGATATTGAAGAGAGAGAAATTTCACAATAAATCAATTTGAGAGTTCAATTACTATTAGGTGATGGTGGTGGTAGTGCTCATTATGTTTGGAAGTGATTCTGGGAGGGCCAAAATCACTTATAGAGAGAAGCATCTCCCACGCGCTTCTCCATATAATCACTATGAGTGCTTTTAAATAACTCTGGGGAAAAGCACATAGCACTTCTCATGTACTTTTCCATAAAATCACTTAACACCACTTAAAGTAATTCTCCATAGAAGTGATTATTGGTCTATCCAAAATCACTCACAAACGAGCTCTAAGTTTATAGGTTGTTTTAGACTTTTGGATGTTTTGGATTCTATGGCTTGACTTGAGATATGTTTAATTAAACTGATGTGAGTTTTGTAGTTTTTTGTATGACTTTTGTCTACTTTAGTTTTTCCTTTCTTTATGCTAGTTAATTTTGTTGCTTATGAAAGAGAAAAATATAGTTTTATAACATTCACAATATGACATGTTAATATTAGAAGAAAAAAATAACGACTAGTATACCCATTGTTGATAAGAACATGTGATGTACTGTTGAATGGTTCTTTCTTAATATGAATCCCATTTTTAATTAAAATTCACTTGATCAACAGTCCAACTTAACAATGACATTATATGGAAGAAAAAATATATTTCTTTATATATAAGATTTTTTTATTTTATTTTTTTGCAATTATATTACACAATCGAATGATTTAAATATTATTGTATTATATTGTTATGCTAAACAGTTGCCAACTTTGTTATGATTTGGCAAGAAAAAAACTTTGTTCTGATTTGAAAGTTGTGCAAGATTTTTCCATTTATTGATCTGCATACTAATATTGAATCGGTCTTCAGTTAAAATAAATATATAACTGTCCTCATCCCAAAAGAAAATATATAACTTGCACTCTTTACCAAATTATTGATGATTAGACTTGATCAATGTCGTAAATTTTTGAAGAAGCACAACAACACATTCTTCAAATTGGGTTAAACTATGTACGTTGTTAAATTAACTTCTAAATCTTGCACCTATATTAAAATACAAATCCAAGACTTAACCTTAGTAAAAGAAAAGGACATGTCATCATGTTCTAAGAACCACCAGATTTCATTGTTGATTTTTTATTTGAGGATTGTAACTAATAGTTTTTTTGGGCATGATTAAAGGGGGATGGGTGGGGGAGGAACTTTACCGGAGATAAAAGGTTCCTGCTCCCTGCGGTTGAGCGGGTAAGACCATTTTTTGTACTTGTTACTTATCCTTCTTCAATAAAATATGATTGCCTTCTTTAAAAAAAAAAAAATTTCTGAATAATGTATTTATAGTTATATTGTGAGGTGAAGGTATGATACCATAAGATTTATGCAGATACAAAGCCAAGTCGTACTTTGTGGTTGCTAGGGAAGACGAGAGAAATAACATAAAATAAAATAGGCACCTCCAACGAGCAACTTGAGAATCTAGTAATCTTTTTACTGTCACCTTCTATGAAGATTTAATACAAATTAATAAAATTAAGGAGATATCAAATTTGATATTTATCTATCTATATATATAAAGGCAATGCTTAACGAAAATATTAGAAAACCTTGAAAATGCCAATGCTTAACGAAAATATTAGAATATCACAATCTAATATAATGAGGGTAGAAGAGTCAAAATGAATTTGCTAAATTACAAGAAATAAAAAAACAAATTCCACCTAAGTAATTAAGGGAGAGATGTTCATGCCCATTCCACTCTCTCTCTCTCCCCACTACTCACATGCAAAAGTGGGTTAGGCAAGTTTAGTCAGTGTACATTGTGACCGCCCTCTTGCACGAGACCCCAAGTTCAAATTTCTCTTACCATAAATTAGATTAATTTTGAGTAATTTTGACTATTACTTGAATATAAAAAAATAAAATTAAAATATCCTCCTGAATAAATGGCAGGGGTAATTTGGACAATAGAACAAATTGCTCTCCAACCAGTAGTCAAGGGCTATGAGGCAGGTAAAGCTTTTTATATATTATATTTTCTACTCTGAAAAGAATAATAATTAATCGAGTTTTTTAAAGTCTCAAAACTTTGCCAGCGTGAACTTTGTAACTGTGTGGATGCCACAACGTGTCAGTATAATAGCGTGTCTAGTGGGTCCCACAATCTGCCACGTTTTATTAATAGTTTATCACAGTCGACAAAGCCCATCAAGCATTTAGCCCGACGAACAAGGGTAGCAGCCAAAGCCTGTGCTACTTCTGCCACGCATGAGACTTGGGCATCGGATGGGCACCCACGTGTCTCGTAGCACGTGCTGGAAGGTTGGCCTTCTCACGAACATTAGGGTGGCAACACGTGGCGAAAGTTTGCACCATGCATTCATTCTTCCCTTCTTCTTCAAGGATCCAAATGTAACGTTAAAGCAATGTTAAAAAAAGCTAGATCTTGTTCTAGAGTAGAAAACACTTTTAATAAATCTTTTTTAGTGTTATTGTCACTTTTTTTTAACTTTTCTCGTGTCGTGGTATCATCAACTTTGTTCGCAAGAATTTTGTGCTCTTTCTTCCCAACACTCACGTCAATGAAATGGAAAATGCCTTCACTTTCAAGTTTACAAATGCTAGCATTGATTTGTAAAATGATTGGATACTAGTCATTTGATTTGTGTGTTATACGTAACATACTATTCAATGACTAGCATCAAATCATGCACATATGCGATTAATGATAGCGCAACTTCTTTTCTTTTTCAATTTCGTAACGCAAAAGCAATCTATCATATTGCAAATCAACGTAGGATTTAGTTTGAACTTGGAAACAAAAAGAATAGAGAAGTAACGTTGTGTTCCATAACATTTTCGTACACAAACATTAGGAAAGACTTATATGTGCTTGGGCAGCAGATGTTGACAACTTGTTTCTTACGTTAACTGAGAAAGAATATTCCCTCATGCTTTTTTCGATCATACCAACAAAAAAACATATTAAATAAAAGTTTTGTTGTCACCTGCGTTGACCAACCAGTCCCCCATACGAGTCATTCTATAATGAGGGCCTTATATATGGCCCTTAGGTGAGGTCATATCGCTTAATCGTTGAATCAAGCTAACCAATTTAATCAAACGATTAACCTATTTGATCCAACAATTAAAAGATAAGACTTTACTTAATGACCATATATAAGGCCGTTATTATAGAATTCTTGCCCACGATTATTGTTGCCTAGTAAACGGGCTCAAAAAACACAAAAATAGCCCAAATAACAATGAAGAAAATCCTACCAAGAAATAACACAAATCAATCCTATCATTAGTTTAGGACAATTTCCATTTACTTGTAAGAATGAAAGAAAGATTTTCTTCTAATAACAATTATAGCACAAATATATACAGGCCTAATACAATGAAAGAACCAAACCAACAATAGCAAAACAAAACCAAAAAAGAGCTTCCAGTTTTTCAAGTTTCAGAAGCAAGTCTATATAAGACACCGCATTCCCTACGAAAGACGAACCAGATGCTATCTATTTATTATGATGATGATTAGAACACTATTAGATTGTTGCTGTATTCAAATTACAAACAATAACACTATGCCAAACGTAGCTGTTCTATTGTCTCTGTGCCTCTTCTAGTTGGCTTTGAGACTGTCTGCCTCCCAAATTGCACATGCTAAAAACCTTTCTATGTAAAAGGCAAAACAATTCAGCATTTCATGGCCCCTCCACAAATGATTTCATATTTAGATATTCTTCAACCTGCCTCAGGTATAGGTTTCACTTTGCTTTCTGTCAGTGAGTGTGATAACCGCGGCAGCTTGACAAAAATTTTACAACTCAAATGATCCAGCTGACCTGTAATTCAGAACTCAACTATCACTTTAGTCAAATTTTATTCCCTTCCATTATGTTTAATGGCATTGGCAATTTGGAGGAGTGAGGGCAGCCCTTAACTAGCAAACATCAAGGAAACATTCCCTCAAGAAACTCATCAAAGTCATCATCATCATCATCAGCTCTATGTTCACTAGTAGAGATTGAAGCCTTTTTCCCTGCAACAAAATTTCTAACCGGGGTAAGCTACAGTTACGAGTATGGAATACAGAATGATGTCTCAGCTTTACAGCCATGTTAAATGTGTTTCCTACTGTCTATTGAAAAAAGGCTATCCTCCTTGACCGAAAAAATGCAAAGGGCCAATAATGATGCATGATAAAAACATTTTTTTATTTAAAAAAGATAAAAGCCACAATCTGAAGAAAGATATTCGATCGTTTGCAATCTGCATGTACACAATGTCATCTCAGCATGTAAACTTACTAGTACTTGAAAAATATGTAAACATAGAAATCCATCCAAACCTTTACTCCTTTCTTTGTTCCCCTCATTATCAGTATCATCATCATCATCATCATCCCCTGACCGACTCCTGCAAGTAGAGTATCAGTTAGCTTTTGTACAGTCTAATAGCAAAAATCAGATTACCCTTACTAAAAGAAACACACACCACCCCCCCCCCCCCCCCCCCCCCCAAAAAAAAAGGAAGAGTCCTATGTGAAAAGACGCAAATCAAGCTGATACCTCTTTCTTCTGTTCACTTCCTTCTTTTCTTTTTCCAGTTGCTCTTTCTCTTTCCGTCTTTTGTAATGAAGCTTTTCTGAACATCTGTTAGGAACCGTTAACATCAAAGGGCATACAATCAGACCAAGTCATTTTAAATAGAACAAATCAATCAAGAATGCAGATCGAGTGACACATAGTGACACAGGGCACCACTGAAGGAATTGACAAAAGACATTTAAAAAAAAAAATCAAACAAAGAGGGAATAAAGTAAATTTTAATAATTATAAGCAAATGAAATTTGATTAATGCCAGCATAACACATGATGAATTTTATCTAATGAGAACTAACAACAGAAAATACAGAAAGAACCTAAAACAGTATTAGTAAACACTGACTACCTCTCACAAGTTACCAATTTGACAAGGGCTTGTTTGTTTTCTCCGGCTTCAAAATAAGAAAAGTTCACCTGCAAAATAACATTCAAAACAATTAAGCCACAAATTTTTTTACAAGTGGAGTAAATATAGTTAAAAGATGCAGGAAAAGTTATCTATCCTAGTCCAGGAGCTTAAATACTAAAAATAAATAACATATATTTTGAGATTTAAAATAGATGTTCAGAGCTGATGAATTTTTTTTGTAAATATTAATGTCATACAGTAGGTCATCTTACCAAAACTATTGATGAAAATTTTGAGAGAGAGAGACCTCTACCAAGATTATTATTCACATGGACTTCTACATTTATATACAAAAATTCACCACAAATGCCTACTCCTACATGACATGAAATGCACAACTACCAGCTCGCCTTTTCAAATAAATCAATAAATTTTGCACCCCATTAAATACTTAAAGATCAATCATCATGACTAATTAGTAGACACTTGCCTCGTAGCTTGCTAAACCATCTTTTACATCACAATGTTTGTTACCACATACGAACTGCCCTGTCAGAAAATAATATCAAGTCAATTCTAAACTCCAGCTCCATTCCCTTTGGGAGACTCATTACGAATAAGATGATACATCATAAACACTGAAAGGTAAAAGTTAAGTCAAACAGGGTCGGCCTAGGAGTTTTTAGTTTGCATATGGCCATTTTTTTTCTCTTGGAAGTGGAAGGCCCTCTCTTTTTCTTTTGGCTTCTTGAGAATAAAGAATTTGAAAGAGTCGGGCGGAGGGGAGAAGAATGAAGGAGTGTAGGGAACTTAACATCTCTTTGATTACTGAAGCCAAATTGGCTATTGTTATTATACAAGGCAATAATATGGTAGCATTTCAACTACTTTATGCAAGAGAAATAATTTTGACGAACTCAAAAACTGTAGGTTTTCCAAACAAAGGAAACCAAATTACTTTGAAATTTTGAATTGACACATGTGAAAGTTCAGGCCAAAATTTAATTCTGCAAGATGTGGCATTCTACTTACATTTTAGAAGGTGGAAGATCCACATGCTCTACTTATATTATAATTTAATATATATATACATAAATTAATCATAGCTATATTTTAATTAACTGTTATTTAATATAAATAAATAATGATATGAACTAATATTACTCATTCTGATTTGATATAAGAACGAACAGAAAATTTCTGATTAGCATTAGAGAATGCACATGGCATCAGAGATAAGCATTTTATTGTGCATATAAGAGAAATACTATAAGAATGAAACTACAAATGAAAGAGATTCCGGTGGTGACAAAATCACATTTTGTGCAATAACAGTGAAAATGGCAGGTGAAAGGGTATTTTACAACATGTAAAACGGCCAGCCAAAACAAAGTCTTGATAACCAGACTTGTGTTATTAAAAGTGATAATAGAGATAATGGATATAGTCATGAAAGATAATGTAATTTTTTATGCCTGAGATTATAATGATGATTCTGGTCCAAGTCTGTCTCTATTTTTCGTACTCTAAAAAAAAGGTGGTCAAAAGTCCATGGGCTTCACCTTTACATCATTCTGATCAGTTGGTGATTACTGTTTGTTTTCATTGTGAGATTTTCTTTGAGATCCACAATCCCATTTGGATTTTTTTTTATAGGAAATTGAATCAAGTCTTAAAAGGGTTAGGGGTGTTGCTTCCTCCCACTCCTTTCAAGAAATTCCTCTTTTGGGTATATCCAACAACATTTCCATTTTTTTAAATCTTATCAAGTTTCAGTGTATATAGATTCCCCCAATGTTTAGTAATTGTTGCCCCATAGGTGTCCTACTGAATTTTTTAGATGAAATCATCTAATTCTCTATTTCATTATCTTATACATATTCTTTTCCCTTTTTTTTAAATTTACAAAATTGTCAACTTCATATTTGAATCACACAATTCTGCATCCTAGTTTTCACAAACTTGATGGTTTAATTAACAAGCACTAACTAAAACTGGCAACTACAACATAGTATCTTCCAGAGTTTATTTTTTATTTTTTTTAAAGGCAAACTGATCCTTCAAAAGAAAGATCTACTCACTAACAACAATCTTGGAAAGAAATATCAACTTCAATTGTATACTCGATGAACAAGAATCTTGAGACTTTAGAGAGGACAAGAGAACATATTTGTTTAAGTAACTAAGAGAAGTTAGATGATAGGGGTATCTTTGTAGTCAATGAAGAGAATAACATTACCTTTACCAGATACAACTTCCTTTTCTGTCCTCCACCTCAGACCAATCTAAAGAGAGAATTGTGGGAAATCAGAAAACATTCTTTTTAACACAATATGGCTTGGTATACATTATAACATTCTATACTCCATCCAACTACCCCAAAAAGAAAAAAAAACCCATGATCTTCGTTTTTTTTTTTTTTTTTTTTTTTGTATGTAACTACTGACCTTACCACTCTTGTAATGTGACATGTCCGCTATGCAGTATCTTGAATAAATTTAAGGCATCCAAAGGCTAAACAAGTTGATAAAAATTTCAATATTCAAACCAATTACAAGAAAATAGCACCAGTTTGCAAAGGATACTCTTTAAACAGCTTGTCATAGTATCGCTTAACCAGCCTTTGCTCCCAAGAGCGGTCCATATCATCTTCCTCGGATCTTATGAACCTAGCATAAACAAATGATACCAACAAGTATGAATGTTAAAAATGCAGGTGCAACCTACCACATGAAAGAACATGGATTACAGCTTACATACCGATACCCTTCTCTTAGGGTGTCTTGATCAGTTTTGACCGGCAGCTTGACATGTGAAGATTCTTCGCTACCATAAAAGCTAACTGCAACATAAAGTATTCATCAAGATGTGCTATAACTGCAAGAGGAAAATGCAGTGGTATTGATAACTACTATCCAATTGCCAAAGCTGAACTATAAAGAAACAACTAATTGGAGCCTCAGCCATATGGTAAAATCCAATTTGTGCTTCAAATAAACAGGATTAAATGATAAAAGTAAAAAAAAAATATTACACAGCATTGAAACCAGATACAAAGTTGTGCATACACTACAGTCAACAAAAAATAAGAAAAAAATACACAAAAACAGTCCTATTCAAGTCCCAGAAACAACACAATGGAATTTGGATTAAGAGAGAAAAAATATTCAAATTAATAAAGTGGAAAGCTTAAAAGGTAAAGCATATACATGCAGATGAACAAAAAATTTACATAACAAAATTGTAAACACTAAAATGGCATTAAAAATGAAGCTTCCAGCCAGCAGCTATCATGGCTTTTAAACATCTAATAACTCCAAAGTCTAGCAATAAGCACATGACCATATTAAAGCTACCTTCCCAAGGATCCAGTAGCTTACATTGCTTACATGGTTTTATTCAAACAAATAAAAAACCAACGAATTGAAGTATGATATATGTACTTGTATGGACAACTGTAGCCTCCCTTCCTTCTAAGTGGAGGAGACTGCTCATCATCCATTTGCTTTAGGACATTAGGATTCAACAAATAAAGAGCTCACTATTTGTGCATGCTTCCTTGCTGTCCTTTCTTAACAAAAATTTAGCTTCAAATGATACATACATGTATCATTCGAAGTTCCAAAATTGCTATTTCTTCAGGGATTTTCATTATACCAACGCCAAAATTATACTAGTTAAGAAAATTGGATTGAAAAATCGAACCGTAATCTTTAACAAACTTTTTGTGACGGTCGTAGGCGTTGAGGCCGAGAATGTGAGCCTGGTACTGCCTGAAACCCCAAAAGAAAAAATATTGAATCAAAAAATTCAACGGAAAATTGATCAGAGAGAGAAAGTTAAAGAGGGAGAAAGGTACTGTTTCCTCGCTTCTCTGTCGAAGATTGCAGATTTTAAAGACCCAAACGACGCCATAGTTTCTCTTTCGTTGTTGTTGCGTGTGCTTCAGTGAACCCTAAACCCTATTTCACACTATTTGAATCCAACTCCAAGTGAAGGGGCCAGAAGGAGCTTTCAAGCGGCTCGATCGCCGAGAACCTATTAGGAGGCGGACGGAAGACACTCTACGAAACAAAGGCCTGTCCTTTTGCCCTCCCTGCTAGTAAGTTTTATCTTTAGCAAATACTTCGGCTCATTACTTTCTTATTGACAAATAACATTTTGATATGAGATTTTCTATTTAAACCCCGCACTTCTCTTAGTTCATCTCATATTTTAAGTCCACTCCAACTTTAAATTTAAATTTTCACAATTTTTAAGAAAACTCTACTATCTTCCCAAACTACCCTTAAATATACCCCAAACTGAAAAAATAAGAATCTAAAGAGATTTTCTATTTAAAACCCCACAATTTTCTTTGTTTCCAGCAAAAAAAACAAAAACAAATGAAACCCTAAATCTGAAATTTAATACTTTCTAGAGGAAGAGAACAACTTTACCTCTCTTCAAGAACTGTAATTGGAATTCTAACACTTGGGTATTGTTAAGAGAGAGAGAGAGAGAGAGAGAGAGAGAGAGTTTTGTAAACAGGAAGTTGCAAGGAGGTTTCTAAAACTTAATATGAAGAGTGTGGGGTGTCTGTGCATTAGGGTTAATTATTAAGTTGGATGACATTTTTTGTCTTTTTACACAATAATAAAACTTACAGGTTAATGATTTAACTTACAGCTTTTGATATTCCTTCCTTTAAGAGCATCTCCAACCGATATGTCAAAAGTGCCACATAGATATTTAACGGTTAAACGTAATATCTCACATCACTTCAACCAAATTGTCAAAACTGATGTGGAATGAAGGCTAGAGGTTCAGCTGTTATTTTTGACATTCCAAAAGCAAGATGTCAAATGAATATTTTATTATTTTTTAAAGACAACTGGTTGTAACTTTCATTTATTATTTTCCTTTTTTATTTTTTTTTATTCTTTATCTTAAATGATTTGACTGTTACAATAATTATTTATTTGACATATCGGGTGGAGTAAAAAACTGTGTAAATGTCAAATTGCCACATCAGCCATCAAATTTAAATTTGATGTTTGGTATTTGATATCTTCCTTGGAGATGTTCTAAGCGCATCTTCAACCGATGTGTCAAAAATGCCACATAGACATTTAACAACTAGAAATAACAACTCACATCACTTTAACCGATGTGTCAAAGCTGATGTGGAATGAAGGCTGGAGGTTGAGATGTTATTTTTGATATCCCAAAAGCAAGATGTCAAATAAATATTTTATTATTTTATTCCATTTAATAATAACATCTTACTTTTGAGATGTCAAAAATAACATCTCAACCTTCAACCTTCATTCCACATCAACTTTGACACATTGGTTGGAGTCATGTGAGATGTTATTCTAGTCGTTAAATGTCTATAATGTTGCTATTTTACGACTCATGTAAAAATAAAAAATAAAAACCTTGTCCTTATCTCCTAAATTATTGACATTTAATTTTAAGTTCATTAACAATGTGGTCTAGTAATTGGATTAGGCATTTTCGCTTTAAAAAAAATGTGATACTTAAATATTCTCAAAATAGGCTCATAATAAAAACAATCATTGATATTGATACTTCCATACATGAGTTACATGAGTGACAGAGAGGAAGAAGTAAAAGAGAGAGGATTGCCTTGAATGTGGGTTGAGACTCGAGAAGTTTCGATGCGTGTTCGACTCATAAGAGAAAGAGACGGTTGATGAACGAGGGAGGCGGTTAGGGCATCCGAAGTGGTTGTGATTACATGCAATGGGGTGCACCGTAGCTTAGATTTGTACCCACAAACAAGTTGCCATGTGATCAATGCGGTTTGACGACCTCCAGGGTTTCAGAGATATCGAATCGCATCAGTTTGATCAGATGTAATAACTAAATTATATTAAAAAATTGATGGTTCAGCTAGGCCCATTTTTGTGCGCCAATGCCCATCTCTTATTATTGTTTACCCAACACATTTATATCAACCATTCAATACCAATAACTAAAGTCCCTAACTTGTTTTGATTTGATGACATGATTTTTTAAATAAAAATATCCAATATGTTTTTTTACAACTATGGTTCAACTTATAATATGAAGTTACCTTTGAATTTGGTGTATGTATGAGAATGTAAACTTCTTGATTGTATGAAAATGACCAAACTAAACCGATCACTAAAAAGATTGATTTAGTTATATTATGCTACTAGGTTGAGGATTGAACCGAACTAATTCGAATTGTGATGTTTCATTGGCTTAATATACAGTTTGAGACCTAAACTTAACCAAACCGCTGTGCTCACCCTCTCCATCACGACACATATACTTATCGTGTGTTTATGAGCTACAAGGAAAAAGAGTAGTTGGCATATGCATAAAATGATAGATGAATAACATTTTTATGCATTAATTAGTTCTTGGTCGGGATATTCTATTTCCAATGTTGTTGTAAATAAAGGTCACAAATTTGAATGATATATTCGCAGTTGACTAAAAGAAAAAGAACATAACATTGCGCTAATCCGTTCACCACCTCACAAGAGCTAAGACATTGTTTTGGCTCGTTTTGACTAGTTTCAATAATCTCCTCTTTATGTTTTGATAGATTTAGCAAAAGCATCTCCTTCACCACCTCACAAGAGCTAAGACATTGTTTTTATTTGTCGACTCATTTTATGCCATTTTCGACATTTATTACTAGTATTTTTTAAGCACTTGAACTTGATATAATTGACTCACTAACAAGAAATTATAATGGAGAGTGGTTACATACCATTTAAAAATGTATGTGAGTGTGTTTTCATAGATATATGTGCATGTTAAAGGCTATAACAAAGTACATGATGGGTTAATTAACCCATTTAAAATAACATTTTCCATAATATTTATGATATATAATTACTTAAATATTGTAAGTGTGTATTGATAATTATTTTTCTTTTATAAATGATATTGGAGAAAGGAGATTCTAACACAAAACTTTGAGTGTTCGGGTGTAGAATATACACTCTTAACCACTTGAGTTACAAGTAAGTTCTCATACTATTTAATGACAATTGAGTTCTATTGTTAACTCTATGATTAACTTTTCATTTTAAAACTTTAATTTAATTTTTGTTACAATTTCATGCAATCTATCCAAACTAAAAAATGTATTTGAAAATATCTTTGTAACCACCAAGATTTGTAATAAGAAAGTTGTAAACATCATCAACCAAGCAAGATGCTTGCATTAGAATGCCATGTTAAGATGAAATAAATAAATAAGGAATGGCGCATGTGTTTTCCTTGTTAAAGAAAGCAACATTGATTGAGATTAGGGGAATTCAGCATCTTGTGTATTTCATTTATTTATCATATTTTCTTTATGCATATACAGAAATGACAGATAAATCAATTGATAAAAACAGATATTGTAAAACATTTATCTTCTTCTTACCATAAACATTATATAGGAATTCTTTGTATTTAAAACAAAATTATATAGGAAAAATATAGGAGTTATGTTGCAGGAGCTCATTAACCATGGTAAAAAAACAAGCACTGTTGTACCGCGTGGACAACTGTACAAGCAAATCCAAAGTCTTTTTTTTTGTTCGGGCAAATCCATAGTCTTCAAAGACAGACAACAAAACACTGTCAGTAAAATAACCTCACAAGTCATCCAGCTCGGCTGTTACATGCTCTACAACCTAGAACTGTTTTGCGTTTACTTTTATTTCTTGTTTTGCAATTTTTATTAATTTCACATTTTTTAAACATAAAATTGCAATTTTATGAGGTAATCAGAAGATCAAATTATTGAGGTAGATGGATGTGTTTTCTTCTTGTACAATACAACCAATGCATCTCTGTATATAAGACTGTCGGTGGGACTTTGGGGAGTGAGAGAGTCTACAAGCTTGTAGTTGCTCTGTCTCTTTCGTCTCTCTTAAGCCATTTCCTTCTATACCAACCCATTATTATATAACCATTTACAGCTATACACGGAGTGAGACACTTTTTAGAGAGAGAGTTGTGATTGGCATTGTGGTTTTGTCTGCTTCAGTCGATCAATAAAATCACTCCCTCCTTTTCTCTCCGTCTCTTCTCTGATCTTTGGTCTCCAAAACAGTGAACTTGTTTTCTGGGTTTTTCAATTTCTCTCTTTTTCTGAGATCTGGTGGAGAATTGGATCGATTTGGGTTTATTTGCAAGTGGATTCAATTGGGTTTCCTGGATTTAGAAGATTAGTGATAAAGATCGGTTCTTTTTAGGTAAGGTATGTTTTAGTTGTTGGCGGATTTTTGCTTTGATCAGTTTTTGTTTTATCTTTATTCTTCAGCTTTATGTTGTTCTTACATTAAAGATAAGATTTGGAAATGTTCACTGTGCTGTTCTGCACTGGATGTCACAAATTACAAACTGTTTGGTTGCCGAGAAAACCGAGGAAAAGCCGTATTTTAATTTGCCAGAGTTGAATAAACTATTCAGTGTGATTGGCTTCTTAATTATGGAAACTCTAAAGTTTCAAATTTTACTTCCCCTTGTTCTCTTCCATTTACGAAGAAATTTTCACTTATCAGAAGTGATCTATGGTGCAGAGATTGCTTGTTGAGTGGTGCAAAATCTGATTTCACCTTCCTTTTTCCAGGTGCTTAACCCAGATCTGGGGATTTTGAAGTGGAAAAAAAGTACTGAGAGCATGTATAGATCTTGTTGAGACTTAACAAGCATTTTGATCCATTGCTCACATCTAAGCAAAGGAGAGGGTGTCAATGGAGTCAGAAGGAGAAACTGGGGTAAGTATCCCAATCATTCTATTGGTTTTGCAATTTTCCTTCTGTTCGATGAGAAATTGGGAGAAAGTAACAAAGTTCCCCTAATGGGTGAAATGGTTGGAGTGGACACTGTTGTGATTCCAGGAGTGTGTGAAGGGACTGATATTGTAACTAATTTTGGTTGTTCATTATCACTATCACGATCAGCACCAGTTCCATGACCATCGTCATGACAGTCATCATCATTGCATTTCACTAAATTTTGTTTATTTATGTTTAACTACTTAGGCAAAGCCCGTCAAGAGCCTGGGGGGTCAGGTCTGTCAGATATGTGGGGATAATGTTGGGAAGACTGCAGATGGGGAACCATTCATTGCCTGCGACGTCTGTGCCTTTCCTGTTTGCAGGCCATGCTATGAGTACGAGAGGAAGGATGGGAATCAGTCTTGCCCTCAATGCAAAACCAGATACAAGAGGCACAAAGGTTAGTAAGATTCCTAATTAGTTTAATTTCTTTATTTTCCATCACGTGGAAATTTTTTTAGTGAAGTTGTTTGCTATTCCAAAATTTTCTGTTTTAAGTTGATGATGTCTGGATTTCTTTGATTGTGTCAATCATTAGATTTTGAGTTGATTATACATGTTACAGTCATAAATCTGTCTGAAAAAAGGCCAAACTACTTAATTTTATAGAATGTGAATTTGTGCTTATTCTATACCAATACACATGCTGAAGGATATTCCTATACACGCAAGAGGTTTTAACTTCATTTGGAGTTCTCTTTGGTTAATTTGGGAAAGAACTTTTCATCACATCTTCTTGAATTATTGCTATATTGCGAGACATTGATTGTTTTTATCACGATTTTGTGGCTGTAATACTTCATTTTGTGTGTGTGGTTGATTTTAGGAAGTCCTGCAATTCTTGGCGATAGAGAAGAGGATGGTGATGCTGATGATGGTACCAGTGACTTCAACTATACTTCAGAAAATCAAAATGAGAAGCAAAAGATTGCGGAGCGCATGTTGAGCTGGCATATGACATATGGCCGAGGAGAGGATATTGGGGCTCCAAATTATGATAAAGAGGTTTCTCACAATCATATCCCTTTACTCACCAATGGACAAGAGGTAGGCCAATACATTTGGAGAGCTATTTTCATTCTTAACGTGGAATTTGTACTGGAATTTACCATTTCAAATTGCCAATTTTAGGTTTCCGGAGAACTATCTGCCGCATCACCAGAGCGCCTTTCTATGGCATCTCCTGGAGTTGGTGCTGGAAAGCGTGCCCATCCTATTCCTTATGCATCAGATGTAAATCAATCCCGTATGTCTCTCCACATCTCTTATGCGACGCGTTCTCTGTTTCTTTATGTGGTTTCCTGCCAATATTGTTCCAAGGTCCTTAATGATATTCTTTGTGCAGCTAATATAAGGGTTGTCGATCCTGTGAGGGAGTTTGGTTCTCCTGGGATTGGAAATGTAGCTTGGAAAGAGAGAGTGGATGGCTGGAAGATGAAGCAGGAGAAGAATGTTATTCCAATGAGCACTGGCCAAGCTACTTCAGAAAGAGGGGGTGGAGATATTGATGCCAGATCCGATGTGATTGTGGACGACTCTTTATTGTGGGTTCTGTTTCTTTTGAATTTTCTTTTTCTTTGTAGTATAATTATCCTGCTTTTGTGTCTGGTCTTGTTAATAGTGTTTTTTTTTTTGCCAAGACACATAAATTTAAAGTTTGTTCTTGTTTGGGAATGTAAGGTTTACTGCACCAGGACAATTTAAAATCTAATAAGAAATGGAGGGGCTAGGAAAACCTTCATTTATCAGTTGTTGTGAACAGTGTTCAAAATCTAATACAATGTCAGGTGGAGATATAGACACCAGCACTGATGTGCTTGTTGACGACATGTTATTGTGTGTTCTGTCTTGATTGAACTGAGAATTTTTTTATTGTTCTCTGTACTATAATTGAGGCTGCTTTAGTATTTGGGTTTGTTGATAGTTTTTAGCAAGGCCGAGAACCTTAAAACTTGCTACTTGTCTTGGTTACATAAGCTTTCTGGTACATGAAAATTCAACTCTAACCTTTGTTATAAGGAAAACCTTTGTTATACCCGTAGTTGTGAACGTAGTAATCTGTAGCACAGAACTTTGCTGTATCCTTATTTAAGTGACATGTTTTCTCCCTTGTTATCTAATAACAGTGTAGCAAGAGCTGATTTTCATATATATACTCTTTTCTATTTTGCAGGAATGATGAAGCAAGGCAGCCTCTCTCCAGAAAGGTCTCTATTCCATCATCTAGAATAAATCCTTACAGGATGGTCATTGTTCTGCGGCTTGTTATCCTCTGTATTTTCTTGCACTATCGATTAACAAATCCTGTGCCCAATGCCTACGCTCTGTGGTTAATATCAGTCATATGTGAGATTTGGTTTGCAATATCCTGGATACTCGATCAGTTCCCTAAGTGGCTCCCTGTAAATCGTGAAACATATCTTGACAGACTTTCTTTGAGGTGGGAAAAATTTCTTTGCAGTTATACCTCAATTATAAATGAGTGATAAAATGTGCCTTCAAATCTCAAGTAGCAGTGTCATTTCAGCTTTGAAGTTGTCCTTCTATTTTGAGTTTTAATTCCAATTCCATTTGGGTTTCAGATATGATCGAGAAGGGGAACCATCACAGTTAGCTGCTGTTGACATCTTTGTCAGTACTGTCGATCCATTGAAGGAGCCTCCTATGGTGACAGCAAATACTGTGCTATCTATTCTTGCAGTTGACTACCCAGTTGACAAGGTTTCCTGCTATGTTTCTGATGATGGAGCAGCAATGTTGACGTTTGAAGCTCTGTCTGAAACTTCGAATTTGCTAGGAAATGGGTCCCTTTCTGCAAGAAGTATGCCATTGAGCCTCGGGCTCCTGAATGGTACTTTACACAGAAGATTGATTACTTGAAGGATAAAGTTCAACCATCATTCGTCAAAGATCGTAGAGCGATGAAGGTAAGTCCTCAGCATACAAATCTAAATAGCTGCTCCATTCACTATGCCCCTTCAAAACAGTGCTGCTCCTTATTGATATTCTTTCCTTTTTGGTTTCAGAGAGAATATGAAGAATTTAAAGTTCGTGTTAATGGGCTTGTTGCAAAGGCCACAAAAATACCTGAAGAAGGATGGATCATGCAAGATGGTACTCCATGGCCTGGAAATAATACTAGAGACCATCCAGGAATGATTCAGGTTGCTATATATTGCGTGACAAATCTCTTTATGCTTCAGGGGCTAGTTATTGAAGTTGATGCTGATTGATAGCTCATTCGGAATGCTGAAGCAAAGTTTAAATTATATGATTCCTTGTATCAGCATCATTTTGTACTAAGATTTGTGTTTATTTTGCCACCTTTCAGGTTTTCTTAGGCCAAAGTGGAGGGCTCGATGCTGATGGTAATGAACTGCCACGTTTAGTCTATGTTTCTCGTGAAAAGCGTCCAGGTTTCCAACATCACAAGAAGGCTGGTGCTATGAATGCACTTGTGCGTATTTTTTATTTTTATTTTTAGAGTTATTTTTTCTCTTTAGAATTAGGTTTGTCTCCGTCTGATGGTCAAAACAACTCTCTTGTAGGTTCGAGTATCAGCAGTCCTCACCAATGGACCTTTCTTGTTGAATCTTGATTGTGATCACTACATTAACAACAGTAAGGCCTTGAGGGAAGCTATGTGCTTTCTAATGGATCCTAACCTTGGAAAAAATGTGTGCTATGTTCAGTTTTCCACAGAGATTTGATGGTATTGATAGAATGATCGATATGCCAATCGTAATACTGTTTTCTTTGATGTAAGTTCTCCATCCTTACAGTCATCACAGAAACTAGATTTCTGTATTAAGTAGTTACAAGTCTTGCACGGTGGGTTTGCATAGCCTGATTGTATGTTTATACATTTCCTTCTGGATTTCAGATTAACTTGAGAGGTTTAGATGGCATTCAAGGTCCGGTTTATGTGGGTACTGGATGTGTCTTCAATAGAACAGCCTTGTATGGTTATGAACCTCCTGTTAAGCCTAAGCATAAGAAAGCTGGGTTTGTATCTTCACTTTGTGGGGATCACGAAGAAGGGTTCAAAATCAAGTAAAAAGGGCTCAGACAAGAAGAAATCAAACAAGCATGTGGATCCGACTGTGCCGATTTTCAGTCTAGAGGATATTGAGGAGGGGGTGGAAGGTAATTTATGAATTTCTGTTTGTGTCATTAGTAGATGTATGGGTCGCATCTGTTTTGGGTTGTGTAAAGGGGTATTGAGTATGGTACTACGGACTGAAAGGTGATACTAATTGCCAGTCTTCTGTTTCTTTTTTAGCTTTTTACCTAATCAGTGCTTGAGTAATTTTACTACAAAGTTGACTTGAGTCATCTTTGTGGGTAGCATGTATATATCATTTATGGGTAGCATGCTATGTCTCATTTATGGCAGCATATCTGATGACATTCTGGTATAATGTTTCATATCAATGTGTTTTATACTTTGTTCCTTCCAAAAGAGTGGTTTGGACTGTATAATAATGTACTCCTTTTAGTTGACATGTAGAAATGCTCATCATTAACCCAACGCCGTGTATTCTCTGTGTTAGCTTGTACATAATTTCATCTAATATAATTGAGGTAGTCGATTATACATCATGCCTACTTTTAGGTGGCATAATCATGGGTCAATGCAGGAAATTTGCTTGTTTTCTGTTGTTTCCGTCGTTAATTCTATTATTTGGGACTCAAAACATTTCATGTGCACATTTTCAAAATCAGGTGCTGGATTTGATGATGAGAAGTCCTTATTGATGTCTCAAATGAGCCTGGAAAAGAGGTTTGGTCAGTCTGCCGTTTTTGTTGCCTCCACACTGATGGAGAACGGTGGTGTTCCTCAATCTGCGACTCCAAAACTCTTCTTAAAGAAGCTATTCATGTTATCAGCTGTGGATTGAAGACAAAACTGATTGGGGAAATGAGGTATGACATTCTTGTCAATGCATCTGTTACCTTTATATGCTATCCTTTTATTTCCATTGCAACAAGGAAATAGTTGCAAATGTAGTTACAAGTATCACCTTTGAAATCCAATTGTCTAGATATAAATATGTTGGCTGCGTGGAACACTCTAGTTTTGTAAATATTGAACTACCTTGGTCTAATTTGGCATGGGTCAATATCCTGTATCTGTGGAACTTGTTACACATAAGAAAATTATAGTCCTAGCGAATTCTTATAAATTTTCATATACGTTCTGATGTTCTTTCTTTTTCCTCCTTGCTTTCTGGTTATACTTTCTTAAAATTTTTTAGGAGCAGTCATTCTTTTATTTTATTTTTTTATTTTTTTATTTTATATTTAAAAAGGGACTTATGATGGCCTACTTTAACAAGGCGGGCCACCAATACAGTTCTTACTGATATCTTCAATGGACTTAGTCTGCTCATGTTGTGTATTCTCTCATCCTGAAAGCTTTTGCTATTGGGTGAAAATTTCAGTTGACCATCGTTTTCCTTTTATTTTCTGTTTCTTTCCTCATTTTTGTTTCACTCTTAAGATGATGATTATCTGTCTCCCACAGATTGGATGGATCTATGGTTCTGTCACAGAAGATATTCTCACGGGATTCAAGATGCATGCCCGTGGGTGGAGGTCTATATATTGCATGCCTAAGCGCCCAGCCTTTAAAGGGTCTGCTCCTATTAATCTTTCAGATCGTCTGAACCAAGTGCTTCGATGGGCCTTGGGTTCTGTGGAAATTCTTCTTAGTCGGCATTGTCCTATCTGGTATGGTTACAGCGGTAGGCTAAAATGGCTGGAGAGATTTGCATATGTCAACACTACCATTTACCCAATCACTTCCATACCTCTTCTGATGTACTGTACATTGCCAGCTGTCTGTCTTCTTACGAACAAGTTTATCATTCCACAGGTTTTTCATCATAATTTCCTTGTGTGCTAGACTGTTCTCTCTGTCTTTGTTTAATTTTTTTTTTGTTGCCCTTCCTTATAGAGCACCCTCTGAGGCCATGTTTGAGATGGAGGATTAGCTTGGAATAGTAAAATGCTTAGATTTCATGTGCAATCAACGAATAGTATGGGTGTTGTTTTCTAACTTGGAAGGATTAGGATGGACTATTCATAAGAGGTTCATGCCTAAACTTATCTATTAATCCCACCACTTTCAAGGGGATTAGTGGGGATAAGTTTTAGACATCAATCTCATATGAATAGTCCACCTTAATCCTCCAAGTTAGAAGACAACACCCACATTCTTCCTTGATTGCACATGAAATCTAAGCATTTTACTAGTCCAAGCTAGTCCAATCTAATCCTCCCTATCAAACATGGCCTCAATGTAGTCTCTCTTCTCAGTGCAGGGGTGCTGGTGCAACTCTACCTGTTTAAGAGTTGATAGGTTTTGTATATTGATGTACCTTAAAATATATATCTCTGCAAGTCAATTTACGTGTACTGTGAAAATTTATTAAAAGATAGTTGTACGGCTTCACTAATTTTTTTGGCTCATTCTGTTTGCAGATTAGCAACATTGCGAGTATATGGTTCATCTCCCTTTTTCTTTCCATCTTTGCAACTGGTATTCTAGAGATGAGGTGGAGTGGTGTCGGAATTGACGAGTGGTGGAGAAATGAACAGTTTTGGGTTATTGGTGGTGTTTCAGCCCATCTTTTTGCGGTTGTCCAAGGTCTCCTCAAAGTCCTTGCTGGTATTGACACCAACTTCACTGTCACCTCCAGGCATCAGATGAAGACGGGGACTTTGCTGAACTCTACATGTTTAAATGGACAACCCTTCTCATCCCACCAACAACTCTCCTCATCATAAACTTGGTGGGAGTTGTTGCGGGTATATCCTATGCCATCAACAGTGGTTACCAGTCATGGGGACCCCTCTTTGGTAAGCTCTTCTTTGCCTTTGGGTGATTGTGCATTATATCCCTTCCTCAAAGGTCTCATGGGACGCCAGAACCGTACTCCTACCATTGTCATCGTGTGGTCGATTCTGCTTGCTTCAATTTTCTCTTTGTTATGGGTGAGGGTTGATCCCTTTACCACAAGAGTCACTGGTCCAGATGTTGAGCAGTGTGGAATCAACTGCTAGACAGAAAGACGATGTCCTTTTGTTAAATTCAAATTCAAATTTATTTTGTTCGCCCAATTAAAGCTGGAGAGGTGGGAGGAGTTACTTAATGTCTTATATTTTGTTCTTATCGTTCTTTCCGTCAACTGTGTGTCCATTTGAAGTTTACACACTGTTTGTAGATGATAGGAGGTTAAAAAGAATATGTTTTTATTTATTGTAATGTAAGAAGGGTGAATTTCATGTAATACGTCTTTGAACATAACTTATTTTTATGTGAGATCTGAGGACTGTCAGTGGAACAGTAATTTATTGCAGTTTTAGAATTTCATGGGAACTTTGTTCTGTACCCTAACTACCTTTGTTCTAGTTATGCTTCAACAAATTTGCTTCACAAGCTATTTGAACTAGCCATACTTTCTTTTTTGGTGTTATTATTATTTTTCTCTTGGGATCTATGAAAGAAAGTAAACTACAATATCGTTTAACTTTCACGATCCCAATCGCATATGCAAGCGTTTCATGGGCCTCTTGGTGTTTGTTTAATAATGGCGAAAGAATCCATTTTGTGTCTTTCTAATGACTCTTTACTTGAGGGGATTTAAACTCCGGTGTAGAGTAGGGAGCACATCTGCTCAATTAACTCGGTTAAGGTAAAGTCTGCAACTTCATTCAATATATAATGAATGGTCTTACTACTAATATCACCGAGGCTTTTTGTGATAAATCTCCACACCTATTAGGCTTTGTAAATGGTTAAATTGGGAACAATATCGGAATTTCTAGTGTGTGTTTACAGGGTTTATGTGTTCTTTGCCTTACCTTTGCCATTGCCTTTTTTTTTTTTTGCTTGCTTGTTCACCGATATTGTCCCAAACTTAACCATCTACAAAGCCCCAGTAAGTGAAGTTTTTATCACAAAAGGCCTCAGTGATATTAGTAGTTGGACCATTCATTATATATTTTATTTTATCAATTTCCGATATAGGACTTATGTTCTTCAACCACTGCTTATATCTTCTCCAGTTTGAGGATTATTATATATCATGCGCGCGGGGATAAAGGAAGAGCTGCAAATAATTGGTTATGTGACTTTTGGTTTTTCTTATTACACATGCAACATGCTATGGCAAACTAAGAAACTAACAAAAAGAAATGAAAGTCAGTCAACTCATTCTTGTTAGTTTCCATAAACAATAGCGGGTTTGGTCCAATCAAATAAAGTTGCAGGACGATAAAGAAAGGTACTGGTTTCCTGAATGGAAGACTACGATATGAAAAATAAAAAATTTACATGGGAAACCAACCCTAATTACAAGTCTAGTATTACCATGCCAAGAAAATTTCCTTGTAAGTCTTCAATTTCAAAAGAAAAAGGTAGCCGTTGGAAATCTCTCTAGGTAGAGCTAACACATAGCCCTCAATACAAATACCCTCAAGACACCAAAAATCTAGTTAAGATTTGATCTTCTTATAAAAAAAGATTGAGAAAATCTATGTGAATGAGATTTTGATATCATTCTCTAGATTTGGATCAAAATGAATATGTCTGGTCGTTGTGCTGCGTGCAAGTATTTGAGAAGGAGATGCCCTTCAGATTGCATACTCTCTCCCTATTTTCCGTCCAATGATCCTCAAAGATTTACTTCTGTTCATAGACTCTATGGTGCCAGCAATGTTGCCAAAATGCTCCAGGTAATAATACCAATTCGACACCTCACTATTTTTAATACTAAGCATGGCCATGCCCCCCAACCCTACAAAACCTTTCTATCCTTTCGATGTTTCTGCATCCATACAAATACAATAGTTTTTGTTTTCTCTATTTCTAGGTAAGTCTCATTTTATTTTATTTTAAGAAACTACTTTGAATTTGGTTGTTTCCAAGAATCCTGAGGGTATTCTCTTTCATTCTAGAGTTAGCACGCTAAATGACAGGACCCGCCCCGGAATTTCTCCCCAAACCGGGGCGGACCCCGTATTGTTGCCGACATCATACCGATGCCGGGCCCACTTACTAAAACCCAAGACATCCTACCAAAATTTTGGCAGAGTCTCCCCTGTAAGATGCTCAAACCCAACAACATTCAACCTGCATAATTTACATAATATAAATCCCAACTGCCAGCATGCTTTCAACATACAACAATTCGAAGTAAAGTGGCCTCCGGCCTCAAGTAACAGCCTAACATGGGCGATAACAGAGCATCTAACAGAATTTGATTACAACAACAGTAGAGTAGAAGGAATTTACACGAGTCCTATCTACAGATGAAATGTTTTGGAGCTCGCAAACTGCTCGAACGCTTCCAAAAGCCACTACTGCCTGGGGGGCGCAAAACGGAAATATGTGAGTGGACAAAAATAAAGTTTGCATTTAAAACAACATAGTAACCCCACCATGTAAAAATAATGCTCAAGCATGCAGTCTCCACATCCATAAATCAAATACTCAAACATAAAATCTCAAAGTCCAATAACTCTCAAAAATCTCAAACCACAACTCCATTCCCACAAGTATGCAACTCTCACCAACCCATACATATGTATACCTATATAAGTATATATTTATATATATATCTATAATATAACGTATACTTCTCTCCATACTAATGTACCGGGAAGACAATCCAACCGGGGGATTGTTGGCTGGTACGCAGGATTTTCGAACCAGAACCCGCGTCCAGGGATGAGTAGTCCAACCGGGGGACAGAACTCCATAGCTCACACGCCGGCACTGCCAACGACACGTGTAGCTCACAAATCTCATATCAAGTCCTACGCGCGCAGACAGTATCATCACCCCCACCGGCACTGCCAACGACGTGTGTGATGATACTCAAGCAATATACATACTCTTCCCATACGCCGGCACTGCCAACGACACGTATAGAAAGTGTCTCACACACCGGCACTGCCAACGACATGTGTGAGACCCGCAATCTCATGGCCTTCCCACCCCACCGGCACTGCCAACGACGTGTGTGGGAAGCCTAGTAACTAGGGAATGGTACTCACCTACCATACTCATACATCTCACAACCATCCCTCAAATTCACATCTTTCCACAATCTCACCACAACAACCTCTCATACTCTATACATAGACAATATAGATAGCCATCCCAAAATCCATATCAACATATTCATCATACTCAATATATATGTCTATACTCAAAAAATATATATAGCCAAGATGTATAGGCATATTCAAATCCATCAACCAAATGCTTATTAAATCAAAATCACCATTTAAAATATATGCACAAAACTTTCATCAATAAAAACCATGCATATGCTTAAAACAAAGTCCACTCACAGGTAATCCCACGCTGCCCGGCCCCGAGAGGGTCCTGCCTGCTGCAAACGATCGACCGAAGTACCTATTTCGAGATACGAACTCTTGATTAATATAATACCCTTCAAAACGGAAATTCACAAAAGAGAATACTTAAATCCCCAAGATCCCGGTGCGTGTACGTCCAATAGGATATCCTTACAGGTTTGGGGAATCGCTTCCCATCCTACGGTTATCGTTAATCCCACAAACTTTGAATTATTGAATCGGAACATCCGGGGCTCCGATTCACGATCCACGAATTCCTATAGGATTCTAAGAGTACCTAAATCAACATACTTCAACTTGGAAACGATCCGACGGTTAGAACTTATCGAACCCGAATAACGCTCAATATGCGAAATCCGTTCGATAGTCAAACGACATCCAAATTGAGATCCGTAAAATCCTATGCACTCGTGACAACCTACTGATCTCATCAGGATGAAAAGCAACTTCACCAGCCTTGCCCACGCGCCGCCACACGCGCCGGCAGCGCGTGGGTGTGTAGAGGAATTTCCGGCGACGGAAAATCTCCACACCAACGCTCACCCTTCCTACCCTAGCTTCTTCTCAAGGTCAGGATCACTTTATTCAACTACCACGAGGTCCAATTCGCACGGGAACTGGCCGGAATTTCAAATTGAAAACCGGCCAAAACCTAGGTTTCCAATTCGGTTCCAAACCTCAAAATCGATCCAAACCTACCCCAAAAATAGCTAGAGCACGTAAAAAGAAGAAGAGAAACTCACCAACTTACTTGAAACAGACGGCGGAGGCGGGCGGCGCAACGATCGGAAACTTCCGGTTCGAACCAGTCGAAACTGACGTCGGGATTCGAGGTTTCCGGCGGGGAATGGGGTGGGTTGTGATCGGGGCTTCGAGACGAGTCGAACGGGATCGGTCTCGAGGGCTGAGGTGGCCGAACGTGACGGCGGTGAGGGTTTTCCCGATTCGGTGAACAGTGAAACACGGGGGAGGGGAAAATCGCAGAGGGAGAAGACGCGGGAGAGAGAGAGAGAGAGAGAAAGTGAGGGGTAAATGTGAAAAATCTGATTTTACCCCAAACTTACTTCGAAATAATTACGGTTCGCCACTGAACCTAATATGCTCGCCAAAACTTCGTTAAATTTCCGATTCAAGCCTACCGCCTGTCTACGAGTTCGTCTCAGTACCACCTACGCAACCAAACCACTTGTGGTCCCGAAATCCTTCTGGATAAGAAAATGACCAAAATTACCCTTAACCCAAGAGTAAATTAATAATTCTCTTAATTTAATTAAAATAGGAATAAATTTGGAGTCGGGGTGTTACAATCTACCCCCCTTATAAAAATTTCGTCCCCGAAATTCACGTACCTGTCAATGGAAGAGATAAGGGTACTTGGCCCCGCATTTGCTCTTCGGGTTCCCAAGTAGCTTCTTCAACAGTTTGACTTCTCCACAAAACTTTCACTACCGGGATGGATCTAGAACGCAACCTTTGTTCTTTCCTATCCAAGATCTGTACTGGTTGCTCTTCATATGATAAATCTTCTTCTAACTCCACAGGTTGATATTCTAATACATGAGAAGGGTCTGGCATGTATTTCCGGAGCATGGATACATGAAACACATCATGTACTCGAGATAGTTCTGGGGGTAATGCAAGTCTATATGCAACAGGTCCAATTCGCTCCGAAATCTCATAAGGTCCAATGTAACGAGGGCTTAACTTCCCACGTTTCCCAAATCTCATCACACCCTTCCAAGGAGATAATTTCAGGAACACCCAATCCCCAACTGCAAACTCAAGATCCTTAGACCTGTTATCTGCATAACTCTTCTGTCGGTCTTGTGCAGTTTTCAACTTCTCCTTTATCATCTTCACCTTCTCATTTGTTGCTCGGATACTATCCCACTTTTCCCAGTTTCTTGTCACCCACTTCATTCCAACAAATGGGAGTCCTGCACTGCCTCCCATACAACGCCTCATAAGGAGCCATCCCAATACTTGAATGATAACTGTTATTATAAGCAAACTCCACCAAGGCAAGGTGAACATCCCATGCATCCTTAAACTGTAACACACAGGACCTCAACATGTCCTCCAGAGTCTGGATAGTCCTTTCCGATTGTCCATCGGTTTGTGGGTGAAAAGCGGTACTGAACTGCAATCTAGTACCCATAGCTTCTTGTAAACACCTCCAGAATCGAGAAGTGAACCTAGGATCCCTGTCCGATACAATGGACACAGGTGCTCCATGCAATCTCACAATCTCATCCACAAAAAGTTTTGCCAACCTTGTTAAGGATAGGTCTCCTTAATGGGTAGAAAATGGGCAGACTTGGTGAGTCTATCCACTATCACCCAAATTCCATCATGACCCTTTGAAGTACGTGGAAGCTTGAAAACAAAATCCATGGCAATACGCTCCCACTTCCATTCAGGAATCGGAAGTGGTTGCATGAGTCCCGATGGCTTCTGTCGCTCCGCCTTCACTTGTTGACAAATCAAACATCTACTCACATATTTGGCAATGTCTCCCTTCATATGCGGCCATGAGTAATATGCCCGTAGCGTCCGATACATCTTCGTACTACCCGGATGCATAGTGTAAGTGGAACAGTGAGCTTCCTCCATGATTTCTCTTTTCAATTCAGCATTCTTACTAGGTACACATAGACGAGCTCCTTTTACCAAGGCTCCGTCTCCCCTTATGGCATAATCTTTCCGTGTTCCATTTTCTACTTCTCCCCTTATCCTACAGAGTGTAGGATCTTCCAACTGGCCTGCAATTACCCGCTCCACCATAATGGGTCTCACATGCAAGCTAGCAAGGATTCCACCTTGTTGAGTCATCTCCATTTCTACTCCATCCTTCCGTAGTTCCACTAACAACGGAAGATAGGCCGTCCTGATGTGAGCTAAGTTCGCAGTGGTCTTTCTACTCAATGCATCTGCAACCACATTAGCTCGGCCTGGGTGATACTCAATCGTGCAATCATAGTCTTTGATCAATTCCAGCCAACGCCGTTGTCTCATATTCAGCTCCTTCTGAGTAAAGAAATACTTAAGGCTTTGTGATCAGTGAAAATCTGACACGTCTCACCATACAAGTAGTGCCGCCAAATCTTCAAAGCAAACACCACTGCAGCAAGTTCCAAATCATGAACTGGATAATTCCGCTCATGCTTCTTGAGTTGCCTCGAGGCATAAGCAATCACCCGATCATGTTGCATCAGAACACATCCCAATCCTTGCAAAGATGCATCACTGTAGATCACGAAGCCCCCTGAGTTATCAGGAAGAGCCAAAACAGGTGCGGTGGTCAACCGCTTCTTCAACTCCTGAAAACTCTGTTCGCACTCTTCCGTCCACTCAAATGCAACATCTTTCCTTGTCAACCTCGTGAGAGGTGCTGCTATCGAAGAGAACCCTTCCACAAATCGACGATAGTAACCTGCTAAACCCCAGAAAACTCCGTACTTCCGTCACACTTGTGGGTTGCACCCAATTCACAATAGCCTCAACTTTCTGCGGATCCACATAAATCCCTTCCGTTGAGATTACATGTCCAAGGAATACCACTCTATCCAACCAAAACTGACACTTGCTAAATTTGGCATAAAGCTGCTTCCTCCTTAAAGTCCTCAATACCAATCTTAGATGCTTCTTATGCCCTTCCAAAGTCTTAGAGTAAACCAAGATATCATCTATGAACACAATCACAAAGTGATCCAAGTATGGTCGGAACACTCTGTTCATGAGATCCATAAACGCTGCTGGAGCATTCGTCAGTCCAAACGGCATCACCAGAAATTCATAATGACCATACCGCGTTCTAAATGCGGTCTTGGGAACATCCTCTTCTCTAATCCTCAATTGATGGTACCCTGATCTCAGATCAATCTTAGAGAAATACTTGGCATCTTTCAACTGATCGAACAAATCATCAATCCGAGGCAAAGGATACCGGTTACGTACTGTCACCTTATTCAACTGCCGGTAATCAATACATAACCTCATGGTCCCATCCTTCTTCCTCACAAACAACACCGGTGCACCCCATGGGGAAACACTAGGTCGGATGAAACCCATATCCACTAATTCCTGCAACTGAGTCTTCAATTCCCGAAGCTCGGCTGGTGCCATCCTATAAGGAGTTAGATAGATAGGATTGGTGCCTGGAAGGAGTTCAATAGTAAACTCGATTTCCCTTTCAGGAGGTAACCCAGGAAGATCATCTGGAAAGACATCAGGAAACTCACTAACAACAGGAATATCTTCCAGATTCAAGGTGATCTCTCGAGTGTCGATGATATGAGCTAGAAATCCTTCACACCCTTTCTGGAGTAACCTCTTAGCTGTAATAGCAGAGATAAGGCAAGTAGGGAGGGATTCTACGTTCTCCCCGGAATATCACTTTGGGTTGTCCCGGACTCCGGAATGTCACTTCCTTCCGGAAACAATCCACGGACGCATGATGCTTCTCTAGCCAATCCATCCCTAAAATAATATCCAAATCCACCAAATCTAAGGGAATCAAATCGGCTTCCAACCACGCATCGTCTACTTGCACATAACATTCTCTGAATACCTGGTCCGCATACAAGACTTCCCCCGTGGGTAGAGAAATACTAAAGCTTCCTGTCATGGGTGTCGGTCTCACACTGACATAAGGTACGAAGTTGTGTGCTACGAAAGAATGTGTGGCCCCCATCTCTGACCACGACCTCGCGTTTTTGGTCAACGAGTCGACATGGTTCCACACAAAGAAACCATAAAATCATTGGATCAACAATGCAGCAAAAGCGCAAAGGTCGAAGGAAAATGAACCTAATGCTCTGATACCAAGCTGACAGGACCCGCCCCGGAATTTCTCCCCAAACCGGGGCGGACCCCGTATTGTTGCCGACATCATACCGATGCCGGGCCCCACTTACTAAAACCCAAGACATCCTACCAAAATTTTGGCAGAGTCTCCCCTGTAAGATGCTCAAACCCAACAACATTCAACCTGCATAATTTACATAATATAAATCCCAACTGCCAGCATGCTTTCAACATACAACAATTCGAAGTAAAGTGGCCTCCGGCCTCAGTAACAGCCTAACATGGGCGATAACAGAGCATCTAACAGAATTTGATTACAACAACAGTAGAGTAGAAGGAATTTACACGAGTCCTATCTACAGATGAAATGTTTGGAGCTCGCAAACTGCTCGAACGCTTCCAAAAGCCACTACTGCCTGGGGGGCGCAAAACGGAAATATGTGAGTGGACAAAAATAAAGTTTGCATTTAAAACAACATAGTAACCCCACCATGTAAAATAATGCTCAAGCATGCAGTCTCCACATCCATAAATCAAATACTCAAACATAAAATCTCAAAGTCCAATAACTCTCAAAAATCTCAAACCACAACTCCATTCCCACAAGTATGCAACTCTCACCAACCCATACATATGTATACCTATATAAGTATATATTTATATATATATCTATAATAACGTATACTTCTCTCCATACTAATGTACCGGGGAAGACAATCCAACCGGGGATTGTTGGCTGGTACGCAGGATTTTCGAACCAGAACCCGCGTCCAGGGATGAGTAGTCCAACCGGGGGACAGAACTCCATAGCTCACACGCCGGCACTGCCAACGACACGTGTAGCTCACAAATCTCATATCAAGTCCTACGCGCGCAGACAGTATCATCACCCCACCGGCACTGCCAACGACGTGTGTGATGATACTCAAGCAATATACATACTCTTCCCATACGCCGGCACTGCCAACGACACGTATAGAAAGTGTCTCACACACCGGCACTGCCAACGACATGTGTGAGACCCGCAATCTCATGGCCTTCCCACCCCACCGGCACTGCCAACGACGTGTGTGGGAAGCCTAGTAACTAGGGAATGGTACTCACCTACCATACTCATACATCTCACAACCATCCCTCAAATTCACATCTTTCCACAATCTCACCACAACAACCTCTCATACTCTATACATAGACAATATAGATAGCCATCCCAAAATCCATATCAACATATTCATCATACTCAAATATATATGTCTATACTCAAAAAATATATATAGCCAAGATGTATAGGCATATTCAAATCCATCAACCAAATGCTTATTAAATCAAAATCACCATTTAAAATATATGCACAAAACTTTCATCAATAAAAACCATGCATATGCTTAAAACAAAGTCCACTCACAGGTAATCCCACGCTGCCCGGCCCCGAGAGGGTCCTGCCTGCTGCAAACGATCGACCGAAGTACCTATTTCGAGATACGAACTCTTGATTAATATAATACCCTTCAAAACGGAAATTCACAAAAGAGAATACTTAAATCCCCAAGATCCCGGTGCGTGTACGTCCAATAGGATATCCTTACAGGTTTGGGAATCGCTTCCCATCCTACGGTTATCGTTAATCCCACAAACTTTGAATTATTGAATCGGAACATCCGGGGCTCCGATTCACGATCCACGAATTCCTATAGGATTCTAAGAGTACCTAAATCAACATACTTCAACTTGGAAACGATCCGACGGTTAGAACTTATCGAACCCGAATAACGCTCAATATGCGAAATCCGTTCGATAGTCAAACGACATCCAAATTGAGATCCGTAAAATCCTATGCACTCGTGACAACCTACTGATCTCATCAGGATGAAAAGCAACTTCACCAGCCTTGCCCACGCGCCGCCACACGCGCCGGCAGCGCGTGGGTGTGTAGAGGAATTTCCGGCGACGGAAAATCTCCACACCAACGCTCACCCTTCCTACCCTAGCTTCTTCTCAAGGTCAGGATCACTTTATTCAACTACCACGAGGTCCAATTCGCACGGGAACTGGCCGGAATTTCAAATTGAAAACCGGCCAAAACCTAGGTTTCCAATTCGGTTCCAAACCTCAAAATCGATCCAAACCTACCCCAAAAATAGCTAGAGCACGTGAAAAGAAGAAGAGAACTCACCAACTTTACTTGAAACAGACGGCGGAGGCGGCGGCGCAACGATCGGAAACTTCCGGTTCGAACCAGTCGAAACTGACGTCGGGATTCGAGGTTTCCGGCGGGGAAATGGGGTGGGTTGTGATCGGGGCTTCGAGACGAGTCGAACGGGATCGGTCTCGAGGGCTGAGGTGGCCGAACGTGACGGCGGTGAGGGTTTTCCCGATTCGGTGAACAGTGAAACACGGGGGAGGGGAAAATCGCAGAGGGAGAAGACGCGGGAGAGAGAGAGAGAGAGAGAAAGTGAGGGGTAAATGTGAAAAATCTGATTTTACCCCAAACTTACTTCGAAATAATTACGGTTTCGCCACTGAACCTAATATGCTCGCCAAAACTTCGTTAAATTTCCGATTCAAGCCTACCGCCTGTCTACGAGTTCGTCTCAGTACCACCTACGCAACCAAACCACTTGTGGTCCCGAAATCCTTCTGGATAAGAAAATGACCAAAATTACCCTTAACCCAAGAGTAAATTAATAATTCTCTTAATTTAATTAAAATAGGAATAAATTTGGAGTCGGGGTGTTACACTAAAAACTTACTTATACTACGAGGGTACCAAGTGTGATAATTTTTTCAAATGACAATACATGATTAGTTTAAGATACTGTCACACTGACATCCCTTTATATGAAAATTCTTCTCGTTAAGCATGCCATGATCATGGTGTTTAACGATCTAAAGATTTGGACTCAATTTTTGCTAATCAACTAAAAAAAACCAATATTGAAAAAGAAAAGAAAATTAATCAATGTGAAAGATCAGTAAGGATAAAGTGATAGTACGATGTGGGAGGGAGAAGAGAGGGCACATTGACATTATATTTGAGAAAGAAATGAATAGAAGGTCATGTTCTGAATTTTTAATGCAATAATTGTAGTTACTTTTTAAGTTTCTTTTTTCTCTTAAAATGTAAAAGTTTCTTTTTTCTCTTCAGATCTATTTGAAGAGCTGAAGCTTTTTTATTTCTGTTCTTAAAAATGTATTTTTCATTAACATTATCTATTGGTTTCTCGTTTTAAATTTCTAACTGTGATTTTTCTCATGATTAATTATCAGGAACTCCTGCCTCATCTAAGAGTTGAAGCAGCAGAGACCTTGTGTTATGAGGCTCAATGTAGAATACAGGATCCCATCTATGGCTGCGTTGGGGTTATTTCCCAATTACATCAACAAATACAAGATACAGAATGTCAATTAGCTAAAACACGTGCTGAAATTGCCCTCATGAACTCTTATGGACAAGAACCTCCTCAAGCTCAAGTTGATCAGCAAATTTAAAGTGAACTCCCCACTTAAATTTCTTGCAGCAACAAAGCAATGTTGGACTGACCCAATTTGGTTCTTCCTACAAAATCCCTTACTTTGTTTGATCGATATTGTTTTGTATTACAAAAACAAGTATTATTACCAAAATATTGAAATTGTTGTTTCATTTATGGTTAATTGTGGAGGAATAAAGATGGATAAACAAGTAATACACTTGTTATAGAGTGCCTTAGAATGTTTACTTTTGAAAACAAAGAAGCCATTGGAAATTAATTAATTCTCTCTAGAGCTAGAGTAATTATAGTATACTATAGTAGTATGACCACGTGGTACATCTTGTACACGTGATATAATATAAGTGGATATTTATTGATACTATTCTCTAAAAGGGAGGAAAATAAACGTTGTTGTCCACCCATATTATAATATGTGTACAAGATGTACCATGTGACCATACTATCCTAATGTGCCATATTTTACTATCAAATCATCTTTGGTTGAGATGTACCAGATGGTATGTCTTTCGTTTTTCGGTGGAACCGATGGTATGCCATATGAATCAACAAAGAAAAAAATCAACAAGTGAGGTTGGCATATATCTGATGAGTCCAAAAAGTGTTAGGTAGAACAAGTTAGCAAACGGAAGAACCAAGTTTTGAATCTAGATATTTAGACGTATAAATATCAACGTATTGGTATTTGGATGTGAGCAATCTTAGGCCAGTGGCAAGAATCAAATCCGACCCACAGACAGAGAAATAAGTTTTAGGTATTTATTCTTTACTTCAGTTCGTGGTAAAGTATCTCTATATTTCTTCGATGAGAATGAATCTTAATTATGGTCATGTGGTACATTTTGTAGGGAATCATATGCTAAAAGGGGTGGCAAGGCATATATCCTTCACTAATCTCCAAATGCTTTACTTGAGATCAAGTGTGATCCTAATTCTATTAAAAAAATTTGCTTGCTATTTATTCTTTACTTCAATTCGTGGTAAAGTGTCTCTATATCTCCGATAAGAAGGAATCTTAATTATGTTCACTTGGTACATTTTGTAGGGAATCATATGCTAAAAGGGGAGGCAAGGCATATATCCTTCACTAATCTCCAAATGCTTTACTTGAGATCAAGTGTGATCCTAATTCTATTAACAATCTTTGCTTGCTAGCAACAAATTCTTTAGACTAACATAGTAGGCTAGAATCATATGCCTTGCCTAACCAATATTTACTTGAAAGATGCCAATTACAGGGACTTATATAAAGACTAGCCATGTGATGATCCATTTTCCACGATCACCATTTGAAACAAACACTTGAAGTTATTGTAATTAATTCACCTCTGCTTTTATTCTGAATCAAGGCAATGGCAGAAGGAGTCCTCTTCAACATTGCAGAAGGAATCATTGGAAGGTTAGGCCCCCTGGTTTTGCAAGAGATTGCATTGCCTTGGGGTGTCAAAGATGAGCTCCGAAAGCTTGAGGAAAAAGTTACCCAACTCCGAGCTGTTCTTCTTGATGCGGAGCAAAAGCAAGCCAATGATAATGAAGTCAAAGTGTGGCTCGAAAGCGTAGAAGATGCAGTTTATGAAGCTGATGACGTGCTCGATGAGTTTTATACTGAAGCTCAGTGGAGACAAATGGTGCCTGGAAATAATAAAGTGTCAAAGCAGGTACGCATCTTCTTCTCTAGCTCAAATCAGCTTGTTTTTGGGCTGAAAATGGGTCATAAGATAAAAGATCTTAACAAGAGACTTCATGAGATGGCCTCGAATAGAACATTTGGTCAGTTAGAAAGGAATCGTGAAGATGTAGAATTTGTAAGAAGAGAGAGGGTCACTCACTCATTTGTCCGGGAGGATAATATAATAGGGAGAGATGAAGATAAAAGAGTAATTATTCAACTTTTGTTGGATTTGGATCCCATCTCAACAGAAAATGTCTCAACTATTTCCATAGTTGGATTTGGAGGATTGGGAAAAACTGCACTTGCCCAACTAGTTTTCAACGATAAGGAGGTTCAAAATCATTTTGAGCTGAAAATGTGGATATGTGTGTCAAATGTATTTGAGTTGGATGTACTTGTTAAGAAAATCATTCAATCTGCAACTAACGAAATAGCCAAAAGCCTTGAGATTGATCCGTTGCAAAAGAACTTAGGAAAATAATAGATGGAAAGAAATACCTCCTTGTGTTAGACGATGTGTGGAATGAAGATCATGGAAAATGGGACGACTTGAAAGACTTGTTGATGGGTGGTGCAAGAGGTAGTAAAATACTAATAACTACTCGTAGTAAAAAAGTTGCAAATATAGCAGATAGAGCTGAACCATATAACTTAAGGGGCTTGAATGACGAGCAGTCTTGGTTTTTATTTAAGAAAATGGCGTTCGAAGAGGGAAAAGAGCCAGAGAGTTCAACAATTAAGGCCATTGGGGAGGAGATTGCTAGAAAATGTCAGGGGGTTCCTCTTGCTATAAGGACCATAGGACGGATGTTGTACTCTAAACATCAAGAAAGTGAGTGGTTGGCTTTCAAGAGCAACAAGCTTTCAACAATAAGTCAAGAAGAAGATGTTATTATACCAACACTTAGGCTGAGTTATGATGTTCTCCCATCACATTTGAAACATTGTTTTGCTTGTTGTAGTTTGTTCCCCCCAGATTATGAGATTCCCGTAGAGAATTTAATTAAGCTGTGGGTGGCACAAGGGTTCGTTAAGTCTTCAAATCCTAATGAGTGCTTGGAAGATGTTGGTTATGAATATTATAACGAACTAGTTTGGAGATCTTTTTTCCAAGAAGAAGAAAAAGATGAGTTTGGTATAATAACAAGCTGTAAAATGCATGATCTCATGAATGAACTTGCTGTTAAAGTGGCAGGGGAGGGAAGCAGAATAATAGATCGCAGTAAGACTGATTTTGATGCAAAACGTCTTCTTCATGTATCTTTCGATTTTGATGTTGATTCGCTGGAATGGAAAATACCGACATCCTTGCTGGAATCACATAAGCTAAGGACTTTTCTTTTCCTAAGTCAAATGGGGTGGGAGAAGTCATTTCAGAGGTCATTTTGTGCTACAATTGCTTCAAATTTTAAGTCATTGCGTATGTTGAGTTTGAATAGATTGGGAATTACAAAATTGCCAAAATGTCTTAAGAAAATGAAACATTTAAGATATCTTGATCTTAGTGGAAATCCCATTGAGAGACTTCCAAATTGGATAGTCAAACTTCAAAATTTGGAAACACTAGATCTCAAATGGTGTGGCTCTCTTGTGGAATTGCCTAGAGATATCAAGAAATTGATCAACTTGAGGCATCTCGTTTTGGAACGTTGTTATGAATTGGCTCGGATTCCTCGTGGATTGGGTGAATTGACTCGTCTTCGTACTTTGAGTATGTTTGCTTTGAGTGAAAAGAAATCCATGTCCAAGGACAGTGCAGGGCTCAGTGAGTTGGGGAAGCTGAAAGATTTAAGAGGAAAGTTGGAGATCAGAAATTTGGGGTACAAGAAAGATATGGTGTCAGAATTGAATTATGATGGTGCAGTTTTGAAGGAGAAACGACATCTCTATTCGTTGACTTTACATTGGATGGGCATCGAAAGAGAAAATAGTGATGCGGTTGAGGAGGAGAGTGATGTAATTATTAAGTCAATGGAAGCGCTGCAGCCCCATCCAAGTCTAAAACAGTTAACCTTGGTGAACTATATGGGTGCGAGGTTTGCGAGTTGGTTTCATTCTCTCACAAATATTGTTAATCTCACATTGTCTGACTGTGATAGATGCCAACATCTTCCACCGTTGGATCATTTACCTTTTCTTAAGAGTCTTGACCTTTGGGGGTTAAGGAATTTGGAGCACATATCAGCAGAAGACAAGGTTAAGGACTTTGCCGGTGATGAGATGATGATGATGTCAGCTGCTTCTCCATCGACGACCTTCTTTCCCTCCTTAGAGAGTCTTTATCTACATGATTGCCCTAATCTCAAGGGATGGTGGAGGAATGAAACAGCTTCAGCTTCTTCATTTCGTTGTCTTTCTACTTTATCCATACAGAGTTGTCCTAACCTAACTTCCATGCCGCTGTACCCAAATCTTGATAGCCTGGGGTTCAAGAGCAGCAGCTGGAAGGTCCTTCCCTCCTCCTTTGTTCCCTCCTCCAAATTAAAGTTTCTGTACATTACAGCCGTTGAGGATATAGAATATGTGCCAGAAGAAGGGATTGGAAACCTCACATTACTCCAAGTGCTCTCAATTGATGGTTGCCCTAATTTGGTATCACTTCCAGATCAAGGGATGGGTCGCCTCAGCTCCTTACAGGAACTGGAAATTTGGGATTGCCCGAAATTGGCGTCACTACCAGAAGGGCTTCGTTGCCTCGCCTCATTAAAAAGGTTGACAATTGGAGATTGCCCCATCTTAAAGCAAAGATGCCAGAAAGAAACAGGTGAGGACTGGTCCAAGATTGCTCACATCCCAGAAATTATCATGTAGACTGGTGCGTTTTTCTAACTAATTTCTTTTTTTTGCATTCACATTTTCATTCAAATGGCAACCAACCTCAGCTCTTTCATTTTCTTCTTTTTCAGGCCCATTTATGATCTTTAAGGGTTGGGTCAGTGCACTAATTAAAAACTCTTATGGCTTGATTGTGATTGTGCAACAGCAGATCACCAACAAAGTGGTATATATGTATTAGATGATGACCCCTTCATCCTAGCATTGTTTTGTTGTTGGTATGTTCACATGATTCCGTTTTGTTTCTTATTTTTCTTTCATGGATATGCAGTGATGAATTTAAGTAATTGTAACTCTCAAATTTCCTTATGGCTTTTGAAATTGATGTCGTGTTGTGAAACCAGTTTGTATTTTGTCATAATGGCTGATATTTATGAATTAAATTCAGATTGATCTGCCAAGAATGAGGTTAATTCTCTTCATTATTCATCTTTTGTTTTAATTTTTGAGTGATAATTTTTTGTTTAAATTGAGAGATGTAAATATTCATCTTGTTAATTAATCCAATTATCATTTTCACGCAAAAATATGAAAAAATGACAACATCACTGATTTGAACCACAACAAAAGTACAATGACGACATAAGATGGCGATCAAAAAACCTAAGAAGTAAAAGCATAAAAAAAATATCATATTTTTTTTTTTTTTTTTTTTTTTTGTTTTTTAAATTAACAACAAAACATACCTCCTCCCAGGCACAGTTTAGAGAGCTGCAGCACGATTTCACCTTTCAAAGCAAACTTACAAAGTAACGTAATGAAACAAAAAAGATAAAAGGGCATCCCCTAATTTTCTCAAATATAGCCTAGCCTAATACAAATCTAATATATCTGCGGTCTTGTTTTGTTTATTCAACATTAGTTAGTTGCACTAGGTATTTAACACCCTCATCAAGACCTCATCTGTGCCTCTCACCCTCTCCCCTTCCTCCCTGAGGAGGCCTTACACTTCGTTCGACCACAACAAAAAATAATAATAATAAAGGGAAACTCACTGGAGTCATAATGCCACCTATATATAAATCATGATTAGGTGGCTCCTTTCCTGACAGTGTAGTTACATGACAGTCTTCTGGCCCATGGGCTTTGATTAGGTGACCATGAAATTGGGAAGCCAAGCACGGCGCACCATCTTAGATTCAAAAGGGCAACAGCAAGCTTCTCTTCAGAATCTTTAAAAAGCTGTACTATTCGTGATTCAGCTTCCGTGTCTTCAGCAAAGATGAAGTCATCCTCAAATTCTGCCTTTTCTGGAAAGCTGCCATCTTCTTCACATATCATGCGCATACTCAAAACCTGCAGCGCTTCCATGGCCGTGCTGTGAAAACCACTGTTGGCATATGCAGAGAACAAAATGGCAGGTCGCTGGATCCGGCTGGACTTTTTCTTGGTGCATCCACTCAACGACAAATTCAACTACCTCAATCACTTCCTGACATTTATTGCAGGGGAGAAGAAAAATATATATTACTATCGAATAATGCAACCACAATTTTTGTGGTTGATCAAATTATAATCATGTATATCGAGAACCATGCTGCTCTTTTGATCTTACCTTTTCACAGGCTTTTTCAAGAATGGTATTGAATAGCAAGGTATCAAGTTCATTGCGTTCTGAACTGGCTTGATCCAAAAGATTCAATGCTTCCTCAATGTCATCATCTTCCAACAGAATCTGGAACAAAACAAGATTCAACATCTTCCTCAAAGTCATCATCATTAATTAAATTACTTTTGTTTTCAGAGAAGACAAAAATGTAACTTTCCATTTGTTTTTCTTTTTTCGTTTTTAAAAAATGAACTCAGTAATTGTCTTCATTTAAATGTCATTATAAACATCTGAACTTTCCATAAATGAAACTAATGAGGACAACAAAAAATTCTCTTTTTGTAAGAGTTCTTATTGCATCCAAAAATGTGGTCACGCAATGGGCTATCGAAGAATTTCTATAGCTTATCTATTCAACTTGAAATGGAAGTACATTCTCAGACCAAAAACAAAAGAAAAGAAATTAAGTGCATTCATATATTGCAAATACTCTAGTCAGAAAAAAATAATGAAAAAAAACACGATGAAGGATGAAGGAAGGGGTTTTTGTGTAAACAAAGCAGAACTAAAATGTGACTAGTTTGCACATCAAGAGCTGGAAAAATTACACTTTTCGATCGCATACATAAACGGTAGCAGTTTCCTAAGATGCATGATAATTCAGTCCGAGTAATCATAATATTAAAGCTACCTTTATGAGAACAGTATAAGTCACTATTAGTGGATAAAAGCCATCTCGCAACATCATGGAGATCAATGCGCAAGCAGATCTGTAACATCCTAGAATGCTACAACAATCAATCATTATATGATAAGTCGCAGCATCTGCTGGGAAACCAAATACCTTCATATTTTTAAATATCTTAATTGCCATTTGACTCTGCATGTAATCATCAGAAACAGAGAAGTAGATGAACACTGGTCCAATATTCCACATATCATGAAGTTGCAAATGAAAGGAAAACCAATGGTGATGAAAACACCTACTTCCTTAGCCTCAACAAGTGAATGCAGCACTGTATTATAAATAGGTGTTCCCAGATAAATGTTATTACGACAAAATATATTCTCTGCCACGTCCAAATACTGGATCAGCTCTCTTATCATCCCCTCTGCTCCAAGCGCTTTCAACTGGAAAAAAAAAAAATTGAATGTCATAGATGAGGCTGGTGGGACGGGAAAAAGAAGGAAAAGAAAAGGAAAGAATGCTAGAGTAGGGTTCCAGATAAGGAAAAATAAAATAAAATAACAACAGCCCCCTTGGTGGCATGTTGCAGAAAGGAGGCAAGTACAAAGAACACAAGTTTTACTGTTTCCAAGCAAATAAGCTTCTAGAAGACAACACAAAAGTTGTATATTTATGCAAAAATAAGAAGTCATGAGTGAAACACCCTGCATGCGCACGAAAGTTTTTAAACACTAATTTATCTTCCTTCTGTAGATGGTGTATGTTCTCCTTTTAAAACTTTTTCCAGAGACTTTGATGTGCAAGCTCAAGGAAAGAACTACAGATACCAGGCCTAAGAGGCATGGAAACAATATCCTCGAAAAAGTAATGATGCATATGACGTACGTCTTTAAATAATTGGCATTAGTGTTGTATGTACACAGCTACAATTTTTTAAATTCTATCACAGTATCCGTTGTTCCCTTTCTCCTTAGCTGCAAGCGAAACTAACAGCCACAATAGGTGAAGGATGAAGTCCGTATAGAAATTTTTATTTAAAAAAGTGTATATCATGCTCCTTATACCTTCATTTTGAATGAAGAATCCGTATTATCTTACCTACACTATTTAATAAACCATGTAAAATATGCAAAATTTTCTCCAGTCACCTATCAGACCATAAATTTTCTAACTGTGCAGTCCAGTTATCAGATGCTGATATTCTTAAGATTTCCATGTACAAAACTATGCACCATGTTTCATGCAGTGTTTCCATATATAAACATCATAACCACTAAAACATCTTAACCATAGCAGAGACTAAGGAACCAGTGTAAAAAATAAAAAATAAAATCGATAATTAAAAAAAAGATAAAAAGATAAAAAGAAAGAGGATACTAACAAATGCTTATGTTGTACAGTGGAAGCAGAAGACAAATTCCATACTGTCTCCCACCATATACATACCAATGACCCTTGTCAATCAGAGGCAGGAATATGCCACCTATCAATACTCATTTCATTCTCTAAACTAAAAGGAAGTATACATGAGGGTAGGGGGTTACCAAGTTCTTCATTGATAAATAACTGTGCTGAATACCATATCTTGCCATATCCATTTATATAGCATTAATGCGTTTAGCAGCATCCACCTGTGACAACATGTTGCCCTCTTCGTATGGGGCATTCACGTTACTAAATAACGAAAACAGCAGCTCATATGTCCTAATATCAGGCATAACTTTTAATTGTTTCATTTTAGCCAACATCTGCACTGCTCGTTCAGGTTGATCCTGCATAATTCATGCAACAATATTTGAATTTACTGGAGACAAACATGAAAAAGCTTTCAAGTGCTGGAAAATTACAACTGAGCATAAAACAGATGAAACTTTCATAAGATGACGAAAATAAGAAAACAGAAAAACATATCCTAATCAGTGTTTTAAATCGCTAAAGCGTTGGTGAAAAAATAGCATGATACTCACAAGTAAATAGTATAATATTTATTTGTTACTTATTAAATACTCATATATATAAAACATAGTGTATAGCAGATTAACTAAATTAAATACGTAATCTATTGTTAAAAAGAAGGCTTTAAAGGGTCTTTGAAAGACCTGTGCCTTGAAAAGAACTTTGAATATGTAATTTGTTCTTTGTAATCTATTAAATATGTAGATTAAATAGTTAATTAATTTTGTTATTTATTTCATCGTAAAGTTGTTGGAAGTTTAAAGAGTCTTTGAAAGACCCAAGCCTTTTTCCAACAGTTGCTTCGAAACGCCCTCTTTATGAAATTGAAGGACCCAATGTCTTCCTCTCCACTTCTGACCCAATTTCAAAGCTCCCATGGCTCTCTCTCTCCATGGCTCTCCCACTCCATCTTAAATTTGGTAAATGTGGTTCTAGCCACTATGTTGCTGGAGAAAACACTAGAAAATCACCTCAGAGAAGCCAAAAATGGTTTATTATTATTATTATTATATATATATATATATTTTTTTAATGTTGGGTTTTCAAATCCCAGGCCAAACGACATCCTTTTTCTGAGCCATCTTCTTCCTAAAAGGCTTACGCCTCTAAGGGGATGCGTAAGCCTCGAAGAAAGGCGTACGCCTCAGTCCAAAAGCATACGCTTTTGGTGACTTAGCTGCGCCTCAAGGCAAATTCCGAGGCACGTTATTCAAAACATTGATCCTCGGTGATACTTCTATCACGCTGCCCTCTGCTACCATATATACCGAGTTTTGATATGCCCATGTTACATAATTCCTTTTATTAGAGCCAAAAATATTCATTACCTATGAGAACAAGAATGAAGAAGCATAACTCGAACAAAGCTCTTCCTAACATTTACAATATTGAAAACCATAACTAAATCTCTTAAATTAGCATCAAACTAACTCTACTCTTACTCTTATAAGATATTCAAAAAGTTCAGGGACCAGGATCTTTTCTTTTCTTTTGTATAGGGACCAGGGTCAGCACCCTACATCATAGACTACCTATTTCTGGTGGATTCTAATTCTATAAGTTTTAATTAACAAGGCCACATAAAATAAAATTTTCTGATATGAGAATTCAGTTCTATAAAATATGACTCACCACCGTGTCACATGCTGCAAGAAAAGCATTGAAAGGATGTGGATATGAACATTCAGATATTTGATCCAGCAGAGCCTCAGCGAAATCCAATTCTAGCACTTTGCTGCAACCTATAGAAAGGTTTGCCAGAGTAGAATCATACGGCTTCAAATTTCTCTGCTGCATAATTCTTAACTGCAGAAGGATAACAACAATGTTGCAAAAATCTCTAATTAAAAACAAAACCAAAATGCACAAAATACATTGCCAACAATTGCAAGATCGGTCTTTTTAAGATGATTGGCCTATGCAATAAACCGATATAACTTACAATTTCCATTCCACTACTGAAACCTTGCTCAGAAGTAACTGCTCTGACAAAGCCATCATATGTATGGCTTGACGGTTGCAACCCAAATATTTGCATCTAGACAAAAATGGGCTCCTTCAGTATGTCATAAGATGATATCTGAACGAGGTACATACAAAATAAATAAATAAATAAGGGCAGGATAGAGAATCACATAACTAAAACAAAAGTTGAAATCCACAAAGAAAATAGCCATCACAATCAAAACATACAGAACTAAACTTTTGAAGCTTATAACTACATTGTTCTCCAAACAAGAATATCATATTTAGCATTTTTTTCCAGAAAAAAATAAAGAAGGAATATCATATTCAGTGAAGGTACCATATGTAAGATTTGCACATAAGAAGGAAAATTCCAGACATTGTAATATATTACACAAACCAACACAAGCTTCTATAGAAAGGTTATTATACCTGTAGGATCAACTGTTCTGCCAAGCCAACATTTCTTACTCGTGCACAAGCATGAATAACATCACTAAACGACCATCTCAAAATTTTCATAACAGGCTGGCTTATATGTATATCAAGCATATCCATTCGAACATTTTCAACGTCTCCAACTCCCAAGCCAAAAGCAGTGCACTGATCTGCATTAACAGCATGGTCGTCCAAATTCTCACAGTATATGGAAGGAACAGAATGTTTATTCTCCTCCAAATCACGTTTCTTCAAGTCTAATTCACAGATTGAAGGTATAGGAATGTCTAGTCTTGACGAATACAACTTTCCTTCAGAAGTTTTATTAACATAAGTGTTTCCCCTGATGGCTAAAGTCACCAGATATTGCAACTTCTCATACGCAGATTTTAAATCTCCCAATCTAGTAAAAGACCAAATAAACTTCCGTAGAGGAATAATGCTCAGACTGTAGTGTTTGATATAATCCTTCCAAATTTCATGGGCCGCAGGCAGGTTTTGCTGCCAAACTGCAAGCTGAAAGAAATAAAAATGCAGAGTAACTATCAATGACCCAAATAACTTTAGAATAGATTGGTGCACTATCAATATTTCACAAAATGCAAGGTAAAAGTGAACTGCAAGGAAAACTGTTCACATCACCATATGGACATTGCAAATATTCAAGAGAGCAGCACATCATCATCAACAAAGAGAAAAATGTCAATCAAACAGGATAGTTCCAGACCTACTTTTGATTGAAAAGTTTAATGCTACAGTTGGGGCTTCACTTAGAAATTAAAACTGATCCTTTTATCCCCTTACAAGCACATTGAAGCAGTACAACACAAATGATTTGAAGCCATGAATGGGGAGATTAATAGTAATCTAAATACATTACATGAGTCACCCATACCAATTCTCATGTTAGAAAAAATAAAACTGCTGTTAAAGTGATGAGTCAAAGGCTTTGTGCTTGAAAAGAGGAACAAAATAATATTTGAACAAATACAAAACCATTTTGCTTTACATACCTTGAGAAGCTCTGAATATGTAACTTCATTCTTCCCCACCATTTGATGCTCCATCAAGTCCAAACACTGATTGGCATTTTTTATACTCTGCATTTTGGCACAAGCCCTTAAGAAACTGTTGTAGATAGGTAGAACCGGATAGATGCCAGGACTTTCTCCAAGGAAATTTATCAACTTAAATGCCTGATCAAAGAACAACACATGTGGACACAAGAATATGAAAATATTAACAACAACTGACAAAGAATGATGGTAAATATATGGTTGCATCTTAATGGTGGTTCTGATAACTACAGTAATCCTAACAAGGTAGTTTTACTACTACCAGCTGACTAAGCTAGCTAGATAATACCTTTTAAGTATATAGCATGAACCCTACCTCCTCCAAATATCCTCCTTTACATAGAGCTTGCACCATAAGCAAAGAGCATATGTTATTCAGGCTAATCTCTTTTTCATCCATTATTCTCCAAGTCTCCATGACAAACTGCATGAAAAGGAAACAACTGCCAAATAAGATACACTTAGATGCTGAGACCAGTACCTATAAAAAAGCAACTATTGACATGCAGAAAAATTGTAGGATACCATCCTTACCTTCGCAATGGCATTTTCGAAAGTTATTTAAGTCAAATAAAATTGGCAATGTGATCCTACCGATATAAACATGTTCATTGCGCAGAAAGTGTCTATATACAGTTTGCTAGGTTTTCCTTTGACACTCTTCACAGTACCATAATCAGGCACAAATATCAACAACTCAAATGCACTAACTCTCATTATCTCTGATAACACACATGTGAACTCAATCCTATGTATGTCAAACATATAGGTTAAATGGTGTGATTAAACACTAAAAACAAATCAACGCACACAGTGTGTCTCAACTAATGCATACCAATGGATCAGGTGACTTTGCACAGTAATTAAGAATATAGACGAAATCATCAGCTCTTAACGAATCATTCCCACGGCCAAGATTCAAAAGCAGATTGGAAGCTTTGCCTCTCTCACCCAAGCGCAGTGCATCAACAGTTTGCATCCGTATGGACCTGGTAATTGATTCTGCTCTGTGCCACGAAACTTCATGACCTGCATTTATCATCTTCCACTCAAACTAACTAAAGGTTTACTGTAAAAACATAAAGTAAATGGTCTGCACATTTATCTTACTTCAAGATATAACCAGGGCAAAGAAAACGAGAAGAACAACCCTACGCATATTATAAAACATGCATATTTACTAATCTAGGTACCCCGCACAAGTTGAAGTTTCAAACATTACCATTTGAGGTTGTAAGAGTTGAAGAATACTCCAATTTGTCAGGAGCAATTCTTCGTCCCTGTAAAAACAACACTGATAATTAGGGACGTTGAGGATATAGAATATGTGCCCGAAGAAGGGATTGGAAACCTCACATTACTCCAAGTGCTCTCAATTAAAAATTGCCCTAATTTGGTATCAGCACCAGATCAAGGGATGGGTCGCCTCATCTCCTAACAGAGACTGCATATTTCAAATTGTCCTAAATTGGCGTCACTACCAGCAGGGCTTCGTTGCCTCAGCTCCTTACAGGAACTGCAAATTTGGGATTGCCCGAAATTGGCGTCACTACCAGAAGGGATGGGCAACCTCAAATCACTTCAGCTGCTTCAGATATGGGATTGCCCTAATTTGGCATCACTCCCGGAAGGGCTTCGTTGCCTCGCCTCATTAGAAAGGTTGATAATTGGGCATTGCCCCATCTTAAAGCAAAGATGCCAGGAAGAAACAGGTGAGGACTGGTCCAAAATTGCTCACATCTCCCGAGCTATTCATACTCTGGTGCGTTTTTCTAACTAATTTATTTCTTTTGCATTGACACTTTCATTCAAATGGCAACCAACCTCAGCTTGTTCGTTTTCTTCTTTTTCAGAAGAACATGAATACTATTCTTATTAAGGGTTGGGTCAGTGGAGATTGGGTCCCCACTAAAAACTCTCATGGCTTGATTGTGATTGTGCAACAGCAGGTCACATACACAAATGGTAGCAGTTTCCTAAGATGCCTGATAATTCAGACTGAGTAATCATAATATTAAAGCCATCTCGCAACATCATGGAGATCAATGCGCAAGCAGATCTGTAACATCCTAGAATGCTACAACAATCAATCATTATATGATAAGTCGCAGCATCTGCCGGGAAACCAAATGACTTCATATTTTTAAATATTTTAATTGCCATTTGACTCTGCATGTAATCGGAAACAGAAAAGTAGATGAACACTGGTCCAATATTCCACATATCATGAAGTTGCAATTGAAAGGAAAACCAATGGTGATGAAAACACCTACTTCCTTAGCCTCAACAAGTGAATGCAGCACTGTATTATAAATAGGTGTTCCCAGATAAATGTTATTACTCTACCACGTCCAAATACTGGATCAGCTATCTTATCATCCCCACTAAAAAGCCATTGGCCAAACAGAAACAGAAGGCACAGCTAAGGAGGCTGGTGGGGTTTATTTTTTCTGCGTTTTTATTTTCGACACAACTTCCAATAATCCAAATTATTCAACACTTTGGTACTTTAACACTTTGGTTGATTAATCAGCAATCACCCACTAATAATTATTGAATAAATAATTGCAAAGTTGATAACTTTACCAACATGGAAACATCATTGTACGTTTGAATCTCTTCACTTTCTTTCATGGTTTTTGGCTTCTTATTATGCCATCTTTAGTTATAGGGATAAACATAATCTAGAGCTATAAATTTAGTTTTTTAAAATATTATTTTTAAAAAAAATAGTGTATGGTTAAATTTTTCTATCTCTAGTCAGGGCTATATTTTAGGGCCCCTCATATTTTATTATTTTGAGAAAAACTATGGTACAACACTCATATATTCCACAACTATGTACTGTTTAATTTAATTAAACTACTATTTAGATACAATATTCCATTAGCCCCTTGACACATGCTCACGCATTTGGCAATTGGTTATTTTTATTTTTTTTGGAATTAAGAAAAGATAACATGGGTAGTTATGTTTTATAAAAGTAGGACCTATTATCTGATTTTGTTTTTAATTTTAATTTTTTTAATATGAAAAAAATGTGAATTTACCATATTATCCTCATTTAATTAATAATTTCAATTCTTAATATTTGAATTAACCAAGGGCATTTTTTGGTATTTTGAATGTTTCACCATTCTCTACCTTTTGTTTTATATATATAGATATATGACACATGTACATTGATAAGCAATTAGCAAGATTTTTTATTAGATTTTGTGTCTATTTCTTTAATCTTTATCTTTATGCATCATTTCATTGTGAAGCATTTCTTCATTAAGTGTTTGCTATTCTCTGGTCCCTACCTACAACCCACATTGGTTTTGGGCATTTTGGCGTAAGTGCAAAGTAATAATAGTTCTTTTCTTTATTTATTTATTTATTTTTGGTTAGAAAAGTAATTTTACATTTTGTTTTTCTATGAACATGCACTCAAAAACAAAAAAGTTGTATATTTTCCAATTTCTTTTGTCGTGGTGCACTTTATCATTATTTCAAGTCTCACTTAATTAGTTTCCGCTACTTGATATCTCTTCCCCACTATTACCAAACATGGGAAAGGAATATTTCATTCCCATCCATTGGGAAATGACATGGGAAGTGATTTCCCCTCAAATCCGTTATGTGAACCAAACGGGGCCTTAAATACACCATGTTCTTAAAGCGTAATGGAGGAAAAATCATTGCATTAATTGTCTATGAAGATGACATGGTCATAATTGGAAACAATGCAGGAGAGCAATATAAGATACAAAAGTATTTGTCTCAGGAATTTGAGATGAAGGATTTAAGTTCTCTGAAATACTTCCTTTAGAATTAAAGTAGCAAGGTCAAAGACTGGTATTTTCCTATCACAAAGTATGTGTGTGATGGATCTACTCACTGAAACATGAATGCTTGGATGTAAGCTTGTCGACACACCCATTGAAATGAATCACAAGTGTGTGAAGACATGGACACTTGACAACCAACAAGGAACAATACCAGTGCCTTGTTGGAAAGTTGATATATTTGGCATACACAAGACCAATTGTATATGTTATGAGTGTGGTTAGTCAGTTTATGCATTCGTCCAGTGTTTCTCATAAGAATGCAGTTGATCAGATCTTAAGGTACTTGAAGTCAACCCTGGGAAGAGATTAATATTCCCAAAGAATGGAAATCTCGAAGTTGTTGGATATACAGATGCTGATTGGGCTGATTCCATTGTAGATAGTCGTTCTACATCGGGTTACTTTACATTCGTTGGAGATAACCTAGTCACTTGGCAGAGTTTAAAAAATAAAATATGGTTGCTCGCTCTAGTGTAGAAGCAGAGTATCGATGTACAGTTCAAGGAGTTTGTGAATTATTGTTGAAACGACTTGACCCAAATTCCTTTCCAGTCAAAAAGTCAACTTTTAAACCATTAAAATATTCTAGGGGTATAGTGGTCTTTTATTGGAATAAATTAATAATTAAATATTAATTAAGGACCGGGTTGTTACAATCTACCCCCCTTATAAAAATTTCGTCCTCGAAATTTACTTAACCCTTCACTTGTGGGGGTGAGGGTACTGGGCCCACGACTGCTACTCGGGTTCTCAAGTCTGCTCTTCTAGTACTGCACTCACCACTTGCATCTCAATAACTGTATCTATAAGGCAATCAATAAAATCCAAAGGCCACACATTTATATCTGAATACCTGAGCTGGCTTAAGAAAATATAAAACTCAGAAAAGATATGATAAATAACTGAATTTCTGATAAATTTAAAACTCTGCTGCCATTAATATGATATTTAGCTAAAATTCTCTTTTTCCTATGAGTGTCGGACACCTGGCTAATGCTGGCACAAAAGACTAATTGCCCTTTTTAACTGAAATTAAATGAAATTCAAGTGCGACTTCTACCGAAAATTCGGCAGAGTCTCCCCTGTAAACTGAATATTTCCCAAAAACATTCTGCCTGTAAAACAAGTATATATGTTTAAATATATATCTATATCACAATGCCAACATGTATCGAATTATATCCAAAAGGAGTCAAGCATCGTAGCACTCAAGTCTCAGGTTGCAACAATTCAAATAAATCAATCTGCTCATAAGATTCATCTCAACTTTCAGATCAACAATAGTACTCTGGCAATCTCAAACATTCTAACTCGTGCATTCCTACTTATGCATGACTTTCCAAACAGTATTCCTGCTCTAAAAACATTGAATGTATAGTTCATCTTGCTCTATAATCCTTGCTAGACTCAGGAGACATCTGGTCAACCTGATCCGCAATTATGGCTCCCACGGTCCGGATAACTGTAAGACTCGTGGGGCAAAATATGCTAGAAATACTGGAACTGTTTAATACCATATCCAATAATAAAAGATGAAAGCCAACAACTTAAATAAAATAAAATAAAACAACTTAAAGTAGAGTGGATTAAAATAAAATAAAATAAACAAGTTCCGAATACCCTGTATCGAACTCACGTAAGGTTCATAAGGAAACATATACATATATATATATATATATTTCCATATATTACTTGTAAAACAAAGGTGCTGCTTAAGAAAATAGTGATAACTGTATAAAATCCTCAATGTAGTTTAAAAGCATTTCAAAACTCAAATTCTCTCCACCTAGGTGTACCCCCATATCTGATCCGTCAATTCCTGGTAATTTGGTATCGTCAATTCCTGATATCCGTCAATTCCTCTGGCAGGTCTCGGTGACAAAAAGTCAACTCGAGCCGCAAACTGGCAGGACTCAGGGGACCGTAGTCAGCCTGATCCGCAAACTGGCAGGTCTCGGAGACAACCTCTCAATCCGAGCCGCATATTGGCACTACACGGTTCAGGCGTCCCCGAAACTCATGAGGCAAAATAACCAACTGTCTCAAGGCAACTGGGGGGTACCTTGTGGTGGGTTTGAAAATCATAATCTGTTATTTACATACACTTTCAATAAACTGATTCTCAACTGAACTTAAAATATATCCATATATATATATATATATATAAACAAAAACAAGTATAATATGTTTTTCATATGAAAATCTCAACAAATTTTTAAGGATGCACATGTGATGCTGTGTCTATAGGAAGTTAACCTAATGCTCTAATACCAATTGAAACGACCTGACCCAAATTCCTTTCCGGTCAAAAAGTCAACTTTTAAACCATTAAAATATTCTAGGGGTATAGTGGTCTTTTATTGGAATAAATTAATAATTAAATATTAATTAAGGACCGGGTTGTTACAATTGTGGATTAGAGACTCTTGACATAATTGTGTTTTAAACGGGAGAAGCCCAAGCAGTTACATTGTGACAACAAGTTAGCTATTAATATTTGCTCACAATCCAGTTCACCATGATTGAACAAAACATGTTGAGGTGGATAAACATTTCATCAAAGAAAAAATTGAGAACAAGGTCATCTGCTTACTCTTTGTAAAATCAGAAGATCAGCTAGTGGATGTCTTGACAAACGGTTGTCTTTGAACAAGTGTTTCATGACTCACTTATCAAGTTGGGCATTGGTGACGTGTATGCACCAACTTGAGGAGGAGTGTTGACGTGAGTTAACCTAACAAATCAAGGAGGTTTATTTTCTAAGTTAATTAGATGATTTATTTCCTTATTTTCATGTAGTTGACAATCCTTGTATAATTAGGAGATATTCTCCTAATTAATTCCTGTAAATATTTCCTTGTAAAGCACACTTGTAAACTCATATATATACCTCCTTATGGAGAAGAATACAACTTAACATAAAGTATTCAAACCATATTCGTATTTTAGCAGAGTGCTCTTGTACTCGTATTCTTCTTCAATTAGTGAAAAATCCTAGCAACCTCGTGGACGTAGCTCAATTATGAGTGAACCTCGTAAAATTGTGATGATTGATTTGTGTTGTTTATTCTTTGGATTCCAGGTCTCGT